TTCCAACCATTTTTTCACATCAATGGTTTTCATGCGAGATACTCATGACACCTCTGGCTGTGAGTTCACTCCGTCCTTCACATCTGTCCTGAAAAGCACAAGTTTCTTTGTCCCATCAATTAAACTCAAACAATAGTTGTGGTTGAATTTCATACCATACGTCTTCTCACATAACTATAAGACGAGAGCTATCCTACTGCAGCAAAACATAGGCCCTTTTTCATGTGGAAATTGTATACATATACAGTGTGTCTACAAAATACAGAATTAAAAATATATATTGAGGTACTTTGAGGAGATGTGGTGTTTGTGTCCTTCACTACTGCTCAGTGTTGAGCTTCTTTAAACCATATTTTCTAGTGGCACAAATGACTTGATTCAAAGGCAGCAGCACTTTCTCTCTCATTCTCTCATTGCTCTTAGTCTTGTTTAGTTTCAGAAACATTTCGATGAACACGTCTTTAATGAGTGTTTTGACTGGATGTGGATGCGGCCTCAAGGTTGTTGGTTAAAAATACTGTGGAACCCTCTTGTCAAAGCAAAACACTTTCTCTTCAGACTGATGTATACAGCCATTTAAATATAATGTCGTATTAATCATAGAAATCAATATGTCATCGTTCTGTTCTCTCTCGTACCCTCTCACAGAGCGCTCTGTACTCTCGTCTTGACTCTAGAAGGGTCTGTGTCTGATGCTTGTAGCTCAGGAGCTGTTGGTCTTCATTAGCCCTGATGCGCACACAGCTGTCATGTCGGAATGCCAAAGACTTCCACACCAGCTGCTCCGGAGTTATTTCTGTCCCTCTTGTACATCCTGTATCAGTCTTTATCTCAAATGGTGATGTGTGTATGTTGTCGTTAGAATCAAAGGAGCTCAGGCCTGGTACTTGTATACACTTAACTCTGAAAGAAGAAGAAATGGCTTAGTTATGACTGGTTATATGGCTCTCTACCATAGACTGTGTATAGATGGACAATGCTAACTCGCTAACACGCTAGCACAACTAAGCCCAACAGGAAAGTCACACTCACCATTCTGTGCTCCTGGTTAGGGTTAGTGTGTGGAGTTACAATGTTCTCCCGACGTTTTTGTAGGTGTCCTCCAGGTGCTCCGGTTTCCCCCACCACTACAAACATGCACAATAGGTCTGAATGTAATGAGAGTGAATGGATGGTGATGGTTGGAGACGTCCATGCACCAGTGGAGAGAGAATGGGAGAACAAAGTTATTTTCTGTTTCTAAACCAGTTTCTTCTCTTTCCTCTTCATGTTCCAGGTCTGACAGGTTTGAAAAACATTGGGAACACGTGCTACATGAACGCAGCTCTGCAGGCGCTGTCCAACTGGTGAGACCGCGGCACCATTCAAAAACATCAAATGCAAGTCCTCCCTCTGGTGGCAGCACAGGGAGTTACAGACAGAAAGACTTTTTTTAACCCTCCGCACTTGTTTCACCATACATTCAATTAAGTTTATTCTTGTATAGCCCTAAACACAGCCGTTGAATTATTTGCCAACACAGATCAGAGAATCAAACAGAAAACGCATAATGGTCCATAATGAGCAGATGAGTAATGTCCATAAGAGTTGATAATCCAAGTTCATTCTCAAACACAAAAAGACGACGTATAGGGACTAGAATCTCTAACTGCCAAAATAATGCATAATATTTCCTCTTGCAGCTCAATCCATTGGTCCATTCAGCTCAGTTTGAACATAACCAGACTTTGGTATTCTCCAGACGTATTCCAGTCTGTAATAATTTTTACAATAATAAAAGCATTATTATAAAAATGTACTGTTTTCCAATACTTTTTTTCTTTCTCTTTGAACCTGCGGCTTATATAGCGATGCAGCTAATATATGTATTTGTATTGTGATAGAGTTGGGCTGTCAGAGCAGAGACTTTGACTCTGTTTTAGTAGCTACAGGACCCTGCTTTATTGTCAAAATCAATGAAGGTGTTGAGTCATGGAAGCTAACGCAACAAAAACCGATAAAATATGAGGTGAATAGACTGGTTTTTGTCTTAATTTGAGTTCATTCTGTGTTAAAACAAGATTCACCAACGAGACAAAGCGGTTTAATCTTAAAAACTGTTGCTTTATTTTCTCATTCTAACGGAGACATTTCTCATATCTTTTTTTAAACAAGATAATTTTGCTTTGTCCGATTGGGAAATCTTGTTTTTAAGGCAAATTTGACCAGTTTTTTGTCACTTTTTGCAGTGTAAACACTTCGTCTTTAAATCCTCTTTGTGACCAATTAAAACAGTCGTCTCTTTGCTACATCACAACATGCGGCTTATATCCAGGTGCGGCCTATAGCTCACAAAGTACGGTACATTGAACACATTTTGGTCCAAATGTTTTTCTGCTTTGGCACATTATTGACTCTATTTTGTCAGATTATAGACTTTGCAGAATTGTAAGTATTAGAATTAGTAAGTATTGTACCCAGTTTGAGATGGGAGCGTGCAGATCAAACATGTTAGACCTCTCCCTTCTCCTCCACTTGTGCTCCACCCGCCCTTTACCCCGGCTGTATCAGACCTCTCTCTTCTCTTTGCCTCTCTTCTCCTCTCCTCTCCTCTCCTCTCTCTCCCCCTCTCTCCTCTCTCTCCCCCTCTCTCCCCCTCTCTCCTCCTCTCTCCTCCTCTCTCCTCCTCTCTCCTCCTCTCTCCTCCTCTCTCCTCCTCTCTCCCCCTCTCTCCCCCTCTCTCCCTCTCTCTCCCCCTCTCTCCCCCTCTCCTCCTCTCTCCCTCTCTCTCCTCTCTCCCCCTCTCTCCTCCCCCTCTCTCCCCCTCTCTCCCCTTCTCTCCCCCTCTCTCCTCCTCTCTCCTCCCCCTCTCTCCTCCCCCCTCTCTCCTCTCTCTCCTCCTCTCTCCTCCTCTCTCCTCCTCTCTCCCCCTCTCTCCCCCCTCTCTCCTCCTCTCTCCTCCTCTCTCCCCCTCTCTCCTCCTCTCTCCTCCTCTCTCCTCTCTCTCCTCTCTCTCCTCTCTCTCCTCCTCTCTCCTCCTCTCTCCTCTCTCTCCTCCCCCTCTCTCCTCCCCCTCTCCCCCTCTCTCCCCCTCTCTCCTCCTCTCTTCTCCCCCTCTCTCCTCCCCCTCTCTCCTCCCCCTCTCTCCTCCCCCTCTCTCCTCCTCTCTCCTCCTCTCTCCTCCTCTCTCTCTCTTCTCCTCCTCTCTCCTCCTCTCTCTCCTCCTCTCTCCTCCTCTCTCCTCTCTCTCCTCCTATCTAAATATGTACATTTTATTTTTTCGTCCTGATTTTTTACTCTTAAGACTTACACAAGTTTTGACAAATTAAGAGTAAAAAATCAGGACGAAAAAATAAAATGTACATATTTAGATAGGAGGAGAGAGAGAGAGAGAGAGGAGGAGAGAGGAGGAGAGAGGAGGAGAGAGAGGAGAGAGAGGAGAGAGAGAGAGAGAGGAGGAGAGACAGAGAGGGAGAAATGTTGCATCAGCCGCAGAATTACCAGAAACGAGATAAGATATTTATAGAGAGATGGATGTGTAAGTGAACAATTCTGTTAAGACTTACACAAGTTTTGACAAATTAACAGAATTGTTCACTTACACATCCATCTCTCTATAAATATCTTATCTCGTTTCTGGTAATTCTGCGGCTGATGCAACATTTCTCCCTCTCTGTCTCTCCCTCCCTCTGTCTCTCCCTCACCCTCTCACCCAGGGGACACTGAGTTTTAAATTACACTGCCGATCCCCGCTCTGGGCCCAAGTCAAATTGCCGAGATGTGGGTCGAAATTTGCAAATCTAAATCAAACCCAAAAATAGCCCAGACCTCGGAACACGGCGGCGAAGGCAGAGGCTACGTTTAACATTTAGCTTTGATGTTTGTTTTCAAGCCCCGACTCCTGCCTCTGCCTGTTTACTCCTGGGTCATTATTACGAGGACACACACACACACGCACACACACACACACACGAGGACACACACACACACACACACACCTGCTTTTCTGTTTCAATATTTGTGCACTCAGCCGCTCTCCAGCAGAACAAAATCTACAATTATTCACGTTGCCCTGATAGAACCTTGTGTTGAAGCTGGATCCCAGTTATGTCACAAACCAGTGAGATCCCAGTTATGTCACAAACCAGTGAGATCCCAGTTATGTCACAAACCAGTGAGATCCCAGTTATGTCACAAACCAGTGAGATCCCAGTTATGTCACAAACCAGTGAGATCCCAGTTATGTCACAAACCAGTGAGATCCCAGTTATGTCACAAACCAGTGAGATCCCAGTTATGTCACAAACCAGTGAGATCCCAGTTATGTCACAAACCAGTGAGATCCCAGTTATGTCACAAACCAGTGAGATCCCAGTTATGTCACACACCAGTGAGATCCCAGTTATGTCACACACCAGTGAGATCCCAGTTATGTCACACACCAGTGAGATCCCAGTTATGTCACAAACCAGTGAGATCCCAGTTATGTCACAAACCAGTGAGATCCCAGTTATGTCACAAACCAGTGAGATCCCAGTTATGTCACAAACCAGTGAGATGTTGCAGTTATGGGACCAGCAGCTGAAAGGATGTTTCCTGGTAACTTAGTTTTGATCTCACTAAATCCTGGAACTATTCACCTAAACACACCTCCACATCTTCTTTGTCACAACATATTATCAATGCTCTCTTTCTGGTCTCTCTCTGGTCTCTCTCTCTCTCTCTGGTCTCTCTGGTCTCTCTCTCTCTGGTCTCTCTCTCTCTGGTCTCTCTCTCTCTGGTCTCTCTCTCTCTGGTCTCTCTCTCTCTCTGGTCTCTCTCTTCTCTGGTCTCTCTCTCTCTGGTCTCTCTCTCTCTGGTCTCTCTCTCTGGTCTCTCTCTCTCTGGTCTCTCTCTCTCTGGTCTCTCTCTCTCTGGTCTCTCTCTCTCTGGTCTCTCTCTCTCTGGTCTCTCTCTCTCTGGTCTCTCTCTCTCTGGTCTCTCTCTCTCTGGTCTCTCTCTCTCTCTGGTCTCTCTCTCTCTGGTCTCGCTCTCTCTGGTCTCTCTCTCTCTGGTCTCTCTCTCTCTGGTCTCTCTCTCTCTGGTCTCTCTCTCTCTGGTCTCTCTCTCTCTGGTCTCTCTCTCTCTGGTCTCTCTCTCTCTGGTCTCTCTCTCTCTGGTCGCTCTCTCTCTGGTCGCTCTCTCTGGTCTCTCTCTCTCTGGTCTCTCTCTCTGGTCTCTCTCTCTCTGGTCTCTCTCTCTCTGGTCTCTCTCTGGTCTCTCTCTCTCTGGTCTCTCTCTCTCTGGTCTCTCTCTCTCTGGTCTCTCTCTCTCTGGTCTCTCTCTCTCTGGTCGCTCTCTCTCTGGTCGCTCTCTCTCTGGTCGCGCTCTCTCTCTGGTCTCTCTCTGGTCTCTCTCTCTGGTCTCTCTCTCTCTGGTCTCTCTCTCTCTGGTCTCTCTCTCTCTGGTCTCTCTCTCTCTGGTCTCTCTCTCTCTGGTCGCTCTCTCTCTGGTCGCTCTCTGGTCGCGCTCTCTCTCTGGTCTCTCTCTGCTCTCTCTCTGGTCTCTCTCTCTCTCTCTCTCTCTCTGGTCTCTCTCTCTCTGGTCTCTCTCTCTCTGGTCTCGCTCTCTCTGGTCTCTCTCTCTGGTCTCTCAGTAGTAACTTCCTGTTTCCTACAGTCCGCCGTTGACGCAGTTTTTCCTGGAATGTGGCGCTCTGGTGAGGACGGACAAGAAGCCAGCGCTCTGTAAAAGTTACCAGAAACTCGTGTCTGATCTGTGGCACAAAACCAGGTGAGGGATCCACTTCAGCCGCATGTTTGAGCGTCTCAGTGCTGGAAAACATCAGATATCTTGGTTAGACCGGGGGCAGACATCTTGGTTTGACCGGGGGCAGACATCTTGGAGACACAGGGGGCAGACATCTTGGAGACACAGGGGGCAGACATCTTGGAGACACAGGGGGCAGACATCTTGGAGACACAGGGGGCAGACATCTTGGTTAGACCGGAGGCAGACATCTTGGAGACACAGGGGGCAGACATCTTGGAGACACAGGGGGCAGACATCTTGGTTAGACCGGAGGCAGACATCTTGGAGAGACCGGGGGCAGACATCTTGGTTAGACCGGGGGCAGACATCTTGGAGACACAGGGGGCAGACATCTTGGTTAGACCGGAGGCAGACATCTTGGAGAGACCGGGGGCAGACATCTTGGTTAGACCGGGGGCAGACATCTTGGTTAGACAGGGGGCAGACATCTTGGAGACGCAGGGGGCAGACATCTTGGTTAGACCGGAGGCAGACATCTTGGAGAGACCGGGGGCAGACATCTTGGTTAGACCGGGGGCAGACATCTTGGTTAGACAGGGGGCAGACATCTTGGTTAGACCGGGGGCAGACATCTTGGTTAGACCGGGGGCAGACATCTTGGTTAGACCGGGGGCAGACATCTTGGTTAGACCGGGGGCAGACATCTTGGAGAGACCGGGGACAGACATCTTGGAGAGACCGGGGACAGACATCTTGGAGAGACCGGGGGCAGACATCTTGGAGAGACCGGGGGCAGACATCTTGGAGAGACCAGGGATACAGGTCTAACTGTCATCAACAATAGTGCTTTTTTGTTGTCAGGAAGTTGCAATTTCATGATCTAAATTCTTCAAGGAATGGTGGCAACATCTGTTTAAAAACACACTGTTTTCTTTTTTAATAACCAAACTTTATGCATCAAACCAAATGTGTCTCTCCTCAGACCCTCCTACGTCGTGCCGACCACTCTGTTCCAGGGGATCAAAGCCGTGAACCCCATGTTCCGAGGATACTCTCAGCAGGTGTGTCTCCTTTTACATTACACTTCTATACACACGTGCACACACCGTAAAGCAGATGTGTCCCCTTTAAAGTACACCCTCTCAGGTCTTCTGTTGGGTTAGGGAGTGTCCTGATGCTTTGTTTCACAGATGTCATGATTCTCCCTGTGGCTTCGCGGTTCTCATTTCATGTTCACTTTTATATCTCGCCTCTGAAAAGCTCCAGAGAACACAGTGATGATGTCACATGGTCAAAACTCTCTCGTTTTCTGCATGGTAAATCTTTAGATCCTGATGTTCCACAAATAGTTTGGTGACATTTCTGAATCGCTTCACCCCTGACTGCGTTTGATCTCTCTCTCTCTCTCTCTCGTCCTCTGGTCTCTCTCTTGCGCTCTCTGGTCTCTCTCTCACGCTCTGGTCTCTCGAACTCGGGTCTTTCTCTCATGCTCTGGTCTCTCTCTCACAAGCTCTGATCTCTCGCACTCAGGTCTCTCTCTCTCACGCGCGCTGTGGTCTTTTCCCCTCTTGCGCTCTGGTCTCTCTCTCTAGTCTCTCTCTCACTGGTCTCTCTCTCTAGTCTCTCTCTCCCTGGTTTCTCTCTCTCTCTAGTCTCTCTCTTGCTGGTCTCTCTCACTGGTCTCTCTCTCGCTTGTCTCTCTCTCGCTTGTCTCTCTCTCGCTGGTCTCTCTCTTGCTGGTCTCTCTCTCGCTGGTCTCTTTCTCTGCTCTTTCTCTGCTCTCTCTCTGCTCTCTCTCTCTGCTCTCTCTCTCTGCTCTCTCTCTGCTCTTTCTCTGGTCTCTCTCTCTCTGCTCTCTCTCTGCTCTCTCTGGTCTCTCTCTCTCTGCTTTCTCTCTGGTCTCTCTCTCTGGTCTCTCTCTGGTCTCTCTCTGGTCTCTCTCTGCTCTCTCTCTGGTCTCTCTCTCTGCTCTCTCTCTGCTCTCTCTCTGGTCTCTCTCTCTGGTCTCTCTCTGGTCTCTCTCTCTGGTCTCTCTCTGGTCTCTCTCTGGTCTCTCTCTGCTCTCTCTCTGGTCTCTCTGCTCTCTCTCTGGTCTCTCTCTGCTCTCTCTCTGGTCTCTCTCTCTGCTCTCTCTCTGGTCTCTCTCTCTGCTCTCTCTCTCTGCTCTCTCTCTGGTCTCTCTCTCTGCTCTCTCTCTGGTCTCTCTCTCTCTCTCTGGTCTCTCTCTCTGCTCTCTCTCTGGTCTCTCTCTCTGCTCTCTCTCTGCTCTCTCTCTCTGGTCTCTCTCTGGTCTCTCTCTGGTCTCTCTCTCTGCTCTCTCTCTGGTCTCTCTCTGCTCTCTCTCTGCGCTCTCTCTCTGCTCTCTCTCTGGTCTCTCTCTGGTCTCTCTCTGCTCTCTCTCTGCTCTCTCTCTGGTCTCTCTCTGCTCTCTCTCTCTGCTCTCTCTCTGGTCTCTCTCTGCTCTCTCTCTGGTCTCTCTCTCTGCTCTCTCTCTGGTCTCTCTCTCTGCTCTCTCTCTGGTCTCTCTCTCTGCTCTCTCTCTGGTCTCTCTCTCTGCTCTCTCTCTGGTCTCTCTCTGGCCTGATGACTCTGGTGCTTGTTATGAAGCCGTTTATGCGACGCAGCATTAAACCTGCTGTAGCCTACCCGCCTCTCACTGCTCCATTTGTAACTGCAGAAATCTCATTAAGTCCATCTCGAATCACTGGACCAGACAAACTCCAGTCTCTCTCATGCACTCTCCGCTCTCAGCTGAACACCACGGGCCCATAGACGATCATAGAAGTGTGAAATGATAAATGTGATTCCATGTATTGAGTGTAGTCTCTGTTCACAACACTGTAGTATTTTTTGACCCAAAAAAACCGTCTTTCTAAGAACTGAACATTTATGAGAAGTCCCCTCAGTGTTCGTTGGTCACACTTAGTGGAGAAGCCTGCAGCGGGAAAGTCATGTTTGTGTCTGTGGGAAGTGACTTCGTTTGGCCGCTGTCTCTTTGTTCCACTCGCTTTTAGGGCTCAGTGAGAGACAGGTCATTAAGGTGTCTCTCTCTCTTGCTCTGGTCTCTCTCTCACGCTCTTGTCTTTCTCTCTCTCTCCTGCGCTCTGGTCTCGTAGCCTGGTCTCTCTCTGGTCTTGCAGCCCTCAGTGTCCTCTGCAGCTGTATTTTACAGTGTATGTACAGCTTTAGACAGCTGCAGCTGCGCTCAGACCCACAACCAACAGGTTTGATCTCTCTGGTCTCTCTCTCTCTGGTCTCTCTCTCTGGCCACTCTCTGCTCTCTCTCTCTGGTCTCTCTCTCTGGTCTCTTTCTCTCTGATCTCTCTTGTTGATCTCTCTCTCTCTTGCTGGTCTCTCTCTCTCTGGTCTCTTTCTCTCTGGTCTCTCTCTCTTGCTGATCTCTTTCTATTTATTTATTTGTTTGTTTGTTTATTTGACAGGGACTTTGCACAATAAATGTGTTTTTCATACCGGAGGATGCTACAAGCTAATTTTCATCCCTGAGGCAGAGGCAGCATGAACGCAGATTTACAGTGTGCAAAGAATTAATAAATAGAAAGAATGAATGGCCTAATTAATAAAATACAGATAAAATGCAACTCTCTGGTCTCTCTCTCTCTTGCTGATTTCTCTCTCTTGCTGATCTCTCTCTCTCTGGTCTATCTCTCTGTTTCTCTGGTCTCTTTCTTGCTGATCTCTCTCTCTCTCTCTCTCTGGTCTCTTTCTCTCTGGTCTCTTTCTCTCTGGTCTCTCTCTCTTGCTGATCTCTCTTACTGGTCTCTCTCTCTTTCTCTCTGGTCTCTCTCTCTTGCTGATCTCTCTCTTACTGGTCTCTCTCTCTGGTCTCTTACTCTTGCTGGTTGCTCTCTCTGGTCTCTCTCTCTCTGGTCTCCCTCTCTTGCTGATCTCTCTCTCTCTGGTCTATCTCTCTGTTTCTCTCGTCTCTTTCTTGCTGATCTCTCTCTCTCTGGTCTCTTTCTCTCTGGTCTCTCTCTCTTGCTGATCTCTCTCTTACTGGTCTCTCTCTCTTTCTCTCTGGTCTCTCTCTCTCTCTGGTCTCCCTCTCTTGCTGATCTCTCTCTCTCTGGTCTATCTCTCTGTTTCTCTCGTCTCTTTCTTGCTGATCTCTCTCTCTCTGGTCTCTTTCTCTCTGGTCTCTCTCTCTTGCTGATCTCTCTCTTACTGGTCTCTCTCTCTTTCTCTCTGGTCTCTCTTTCTCTCTGGTCTCTCTCTCTTGCTGATCTCTCTCTTACTGGTCTCTCTCTCTGCTCTCTTTCTCTTGCTGGTTGTTCTCTCTGGTCTCTCTCTCTTGCCGATCTCTCTCTCTCTGGTCTCTCTCTCTGTTTCTCTGGTCTCTCTCTCTTTCTTATCTCTCTCTCTTACTGGTCTCTCTCACTTCAGCAGTGGTGGGTTCAGGTGGTTAGAAAAGTCTATTGTGTGAGTGAGGGATTTTAAAAATGGTCGAACATCTTTTTAAAGGATTTTAGGTTTTTTTCGCTGTTACTGAAATGAAATTTGAACTTGGGGCATTGTTTCAGTCTGTGCCCAAGTGAAACTGAAGTAAGGATGAGCTCACTGCCAAAAAGAGAAAATCGATGTTGAAACTGGATCATTTCCTCCGGAGTCTGAACAAAACACATTATGTCTTTGTGCCCCACTGAAGTGTGCAAATACATGGAATTAAGTCACAAACGTTTTTAAACTATAAATTAAAGGACTTCTGTATTGACTTCTATATTAAAGCTGCACTAACTGACTTTGGGATTTTGAAGCCGCGGACTCGCTGGCCTCTCTCTTTCTGCTCCCCTCCCCGCACCCACGAAGCTATCGCCCCCCACACACACACACTGTTGTTGGAGCTAGTGTCTCCCAATATGGATAATACATGAATATGGATTTGCACGTGGATGGCGTGACCATAGAACGATAGAACCGGGAAGTGCGGAGGAACGGGACTTTCTTTTGGATGGCTGTTTTGCTGTGTAAGCAGTAACCGGTGATGAAGACACACGAATCTTCAGGTTAGCTCCTCGGCTTGTTGTGCTAACTCAGCCGTCTGTGCTAACGGACCTGTAGATTTCTCACGAAAGTGGGGGCCAGTGGTCCGCTGTGATTGGTCACAATCTGCAACCCGAAACACATTCTCTTCCTTGTTTCATCAAAACTCGATCTAAAATATAATGTCACGCCAGCACAAATCTGCGCTAATTATTCTTCAAAAGGACATATATCCCAATGCACTACATGGACATGGATAGCATTTTCGTAATGAATACGAAAATAAAGTCAGTTAAAACAGCTCTGCTTGTGTACAAGTCTCTCCATGGCCTCGCACCAAAATATATTAGTGACATGTTAGTCCCATATGAACCAGCCCGGACTCTGAGGGGCACAGGGACTGGACTCCTGTTGGGACTCTGAGGAGCACAGGGACTGGCCTCCTGCTGGGACTCTGAGGAGCACAGGGACTGGACTCCTGCTGGGACTCTGAGGAGCACAGGGACTGGACTCCTGCTGGGACTCTGAGGAGCACAGGGACTGGACTCCTGTTAGTGCCCAGAGTCAGAACTAAACATGGGGAGACTGCTTTTCAGATTCATGCTGCTAAAATCTGGAACAATCTTCCTGAAGATGTGAGACAGGCCTCTTCTCTGACAATGTTTAAAACCAGGTTAAAGACAGTTCTGTTTAGCTGTGCATACAACTGAGGGATTTTATATTTTTATCTTTCTTTTTAATGTTCTGTAATTATTTATGATTTTAATGCATCTTGTTCAGCACTTTGAGTTGCCTTGTGTATGAATTGTGCTATACAAATAAACTTGCCTTGCCTTGCCTTGCCTAGTGCAGCTTTAAAGCAACAGATTTATCCTTTGTACAAAATGCCTTAAAGCGAGGGTCTGGTTCAGTCACTAGTGTTCACAGAAGTGTTTTGGCCTCAAGAAAAGACACATTTAAATGATCACATTGAAAAGAGTGAAGAAACAATCCTTCAGTTGTCTGCAAAACTAAACAGAACATTTTCAGGTAGACTTCCAGATTTTAGCGGCATCAATCTGAAATGTTGCCTCCTCCTGTTTAGTCCTGACTCTGAGACCAGCAGGAGGCCAGTCCCTGTGCTCCTCATGGTCCCAGCAGGAGGCCGGTCCCTGTGCTCCTCATGGTCCCAGCAGGAGGCCAGTCCCTGTGCTCCTCAGAGTCCCAGCAGGAGGCCAGTCCCTGTGCTCCTCAGAGTCCCAGCAGGAGGCCAGTCCCTGTGCTCCTCAGAGTCCCAGCAGGAGGCCAGTCCCTGTGCTCCTCAGAGTCCCAGCAGGAGGCCAGTCCCTGTGCTCCTCAGAGTCCCAGCAGGAGGCCAGTCCCTGTGCTCCTCAGAGTCCCAGCAGGAGGCCAGTCCCTGTGCTCCTCAGAGTCCCAGCAGGAGGCCAGTCCCTGTGCTCCTCATGGTCCCAGCAGGAGGCCAGTCCCTGTGCTCCTCATGGTCCCAGCAGGAGGCCAGTCCCTGTGCTCCTCTAGCAGGTTCATATGTCACTAACATGTCTCAGATGTGGTGCGAGAGAATTGCACCACATCTATGGAGAGAATTGCTTCATTTCGGGCTGAATAAAAATGTCTGAATCTTAGTTTTTGTTAAACCTGATCCCTCCTCTCTGCCTCCTCTTCCTGGTCCTCACTCCTCTCTGCCTCCTCTTCCTGGTCCTCACTCCTCTCTGCCTCCTCTTCCTGCTCCTCACTCCTCTCTGCCTCCTCTTCCTGCTCCTCACTCCTCTCTGCCTCCTCTTCCTGCTCCTCACTCCTCTCTGCCTCCTCTTCCTGCTCCTCACTCCTCTCTTCCTCCTCTCTTCCTGGTCCTCACTCCTCTCTGCCTCCTCTTCCTGGTCCTCACTCCTCTCTGCCTCCTCTTCCTGCTCCTCACTCCTCTCTGCCTCCTCTTCCTGCTCCTCACTCCTCTCTGCCTCCTCTTCCTGGTCCTCACTCCTCTCTGCCTCCTCTTCCTGCTCCTCACTCCTCTCTGCCTCCTCTTCCTGCTCCTCACTCCTCTCTGCCTCCTCTTCCTGCTCCTCACTCCTCTCTGCCTCCTCTTCCTGGTCCTCACTCCTCTCTGCCTCCTCTTCCTGCTCCTCACTCCTCTCTGCCTCCTCTTCCTGCTCCTCACTCCTCTCTGCCTCCTCTTCCTGCTCCTCACTCCTCTCTGCCTCCTCTTCCTGCTCCTCACTCCTCTCTGCCTCCTCTTCCTGCTCCTCACTCCTCTCTGCCTCCTCTGCCTGCTCCTCACTCCTCTCTGCCTCCTCTTCCTGCTCCTCACTCCTCTCTGCCTCCTCTTCCTGCTCCTCACTCTTCTCTGCCTCCTCTGCCTGCTCCTCACTCCTCTCTGCCTCCTCTTCCTGCTCCTCACTCCTCTCTGCCTCCTCTTCCTGCTCCTCACTCCTCTCTGCCTCCTCTGCCTGCTCCTCACTCCTCTCTGCCTCCTCTTCCTGCTCCTCACTCCTCTCTGCCTCCTCTTCCTGCTCCTCACTCCTCTCTGCCTCCTCTGCCTGCTCCTCACTCCTCTCTGCCTCCTCTCTGCCTGCTCCTCACTCCTCCCTGCCTCCTCTTCCTGCTCCTCACTCCTCTCTGCCTCCTCTTCCTGCTCCTCACTCCTCTCTGCCTCCTCTTCCTGCTCCTCACTCCTCTCTGCCTCCTCTGCCTGCTCCTCACTCCTCTCTGCCTCCTCTTCCTGCTCCTCACTCCTCTCTGCCTCCTCTTCCTGCTCCTCACTCCTCTCTGCCTCCTCTGCCTGCTCCTCACTCCTCTCTGCCTCCTCTCTGCCTGCTCCTCACTCCTCTCCTCTCTCCTCCTTCCTCAGGACTCCCAGGAGTTCTTGCGCTGCCTGATGGACCAGCTTCACGAGGAGCTGAAGGAGACGTTCCCGGAGCTCCATGACTCCGCGTCTGTGGAAAGCGCTCTCACGGAGGACGACTCCCGAAGCCAGAGCGACGACTTCCAATCTTGCGAATCCTGCAGCGACAAGGCCGAGAGCGAGAACCAGGGAGGACTGGGAGGTGAGAAGTGTACCATCTGGAAGTTTCTGATCGACTTTTTCACAATGTTTAACTTTAAAGAGCTATTCAGATTCATATTGATGCATTTTCTCACGTTGGAACATGTGCTAAAGTCCCCAGTGTGCACCAGGTACCAAGTACAATCAGTCAACACAGACTATTATTTTTATGGGTTTTCCCTTGAGGTGAATCTTCTCTTTTTAAGGGTTCCTTCAAGGTCTCAATCTATTCCCAGCTGGAAGAAAAGATTCACTGAAAATATATAAATCCTTTAGAAACGCTTGAATCAAGTTTTTATCCTTTTTCTGTGGTTTGGATTGTTTTAAAAATGTCCCCTTTGGTTCCTCTCGGATATTAAGTGCATTATTTGGTTCTCTGAAATTGAATATTTATCTACCTTTTCCTCTGTATAATGTTTTTAGAATATCTTCATCCTTAGCACTTGACGTTGGGTTGAGGGTTTTAGTTTTGTTCCACAGACTCCAACGAAGCCGAGATGTTGATCCCCGAGCACGAGGAGGTCCAGGCCAACCGGGAGTGGCAGAAGGAGAAGAACATGATCAACGACCTGTACCGCTGCACCGGGCCGGGGGGAGGAGGGGGGGGAGGAGGGGGAGGGATGGACGCAGACAAAGACATAGACTCCACCACCGAGAACACTCCCATCATCAGCACACAGGGGGCGCTCAAAACACAGAGCCGCATCTCAGGTGAAAGTCTATGTGAACTATTTAGATTTTATAATGTTTGTTTGTTTTGTCCTGGAGGAAATGTGTTGCTGCTAAAATGCAATTTGAGAATCATCTGTAATGGGCTAAGATTATATAGGCTATACCCAAAATGTCAATGTCTACTGTATCTATATAGCACATCTACAACACCAGCTGCTCAAAGCTGTTTTCTGGCAGCTTTGATCTGCATTGAAAATCCTGGAGGGAGGGAAAGAGACCCCGGCGGGCAGGCGAGAGAGAGACCCTGGCGGGCGGGCGGGCAAGAGAGAGACCCCGGCGGGCGCACGAGAGAGTGACCCCGGCGGGCGGGCGAGAGAGTGACCCCGGCGGGCGGGCGAGAGAGAGACCCTGGCGGGCGGGCGGGCAAGAGAGAGACCCCGGCGGGCGCACGAGAGAGTGACCCCGGCGGGCGGGCGAGAGAGTGACCCCGGCGGGCGGGCGAGAGAGTGACCCCGGCGGGCGGGCGAGAGAATGAACCCGGCGGGCGGGCGAGAGAGTGACCCCGGCGGGAGGGCGAGAGACAGACCCCGGTGGGAGGGCGAGAGAGTGACCCCGGCGGGAGGGCGAGAGAGTGACCCCGGCGGGAGGGCGAGAGAGTGACCCCGGCGGGAGGGCGAGAGAGTGACCCCGGCGGGCGGGCGAGAGAGTGACCCCGGCGGGAGGGCGAGAGAGTGACCCCGGCGGGAGGGCTAGAGACAGACCCCGGTGGGAGGGCAAAAGAGTGACCCCGGTGGGAGGGCGAGAGAGTGACCCCGGCGGGAGGTCAGAGGGAAGGAGAGACCCTGGGAGGCCAAAGGGAGGGAGAGAGAGATTCCAGTAGACCAGAGGGAGAGACCAGAGAACCCCTCTCTTAGACCACCAAAGTCAGATGCAAAGAAATGTCCCCTTTAAAATATGCGGTGCACCGAGGACAGAGTTTCCCACCATTTTAGTTCCACTCGCTCTAAACACATTATTATGTTGCATATAGAGATATTTCTGCCCTAACTATTAATAAAGCTTGTAATGTCAGTTTAAAATTTCATACACACCTTAATAACTTAAATCTCATTCGTTTCCGCCTAGATTCCTTCCCGGACATCCAGATATCCAACAACGCGGTTCACCCGAGGCCCCAGAGCCCAGTGCCCATGGACGGACACTTCCCCAAAATGTCCAGCAGTCCTCCCAAGTCCTCCGGCTGGCCCAGTCTCAACCCTGCACACAAAAAAGGTACCGCTGCTCTCTCCATTCCCATCCCTGTTTAGTCCTGATTTAACACAGCAAATACAATCTGTAGACCAGGACTGAGGCTGTAGACCCAGGACTGAGGCTGTAGACCCAGGACTGAGGCTGTAGACCCAGGACTGAGGCTGTAGACCCAGGACTGAGGCTGTAGACCCAGGACTGAGGCTGTAGACCCAGGACTGAGGCTGTAGACCCAGGACTGAGGCTGTAGACCCAGGACTGAGGACTGACGCTGTAGACCCAGGACTGAGGCTGTAGACCCAGGACTGAGGCTGTAGACCCAGGACTGAGGCTGTAGACCCAGGACTGAGGCTGTAGACCCAGGACTGAGGCTGTAGACCCAGGACTGAGGCTGTAGACCCAGGACTGAGGCTGTAGACCCAGGACTGAGGCTGTAGACCCAGGACTGAGGCTGTAGACCCAGGACTGAGGCTGTAGACCCAGGACTGAGGACTGACGCTGTAGACCCAGGCAAGGAGACAAGTTCGGCCCGGGGAAGATAGTCCACGTGGTGCAGATAAAAGAGGCTGGTTTCAGAGGTCCCATCATCACACCATGAAACAGAAAACAGGACAGTGGTTGAATAGCAATGAACAGACGACAGCTGAAGTCATAATGATGAAGGATAAAGTAGAAAGCGACAACGTTAGTGCTCGAGGTCTTGGGTTGTCGGGTAAAAGTATTATATTTCAATTTTTCCTTTCAAAATAAACTGAAAACAATTAACCAAATTCAAGTGATTTTTAGTATTTCTTTAGTCCCTGTTTAGATGAAAACTTTGATTTCAATTAACAATGATTTTTATAGCTTTTTATTAGACACTATTAATTCAGCCCAAACAATTCCTATTGTAGCCGCCACTGCCCCACTGTGGCACCTGCTGTTCCCAGAGGTCTCCCATCACAGCACTAACCAGGCCCTGCCCTGCTTAGCTGCAGAGGTCTGACAGGATCTTTCCCCTGCAGGTGGAACTCTGAAATCAAACTCTGATCCTTCCTCCATCGATCGCTCGCTCTGCTCTGGGATGCGGACGATCACTTTTTATGGGAATTGTCTGAAATTACAGTACGTTGTTATTAAATCTCTCTCCTCCTCTTCCTCACGGTTCGCAGCCGTCGCCACGTTCTCTCCACCGAAGAACAAGCGGCAGAAGAAATATCGCAGCGTCATCTCGGACGTGTTTGATGGAACCATCGTGAGCTCCGTGCAGTGCCTCACCTGTGACCGGGTCAGTCTGCTTTGATTCTGCTTCTACATGTCTGTCCCCTGAGAGGGCCCTGTGCTCTGGGTTTAAGACCACAGAGAAGGCCCTGTGCTCTGGGTTTAAGACCACAGAGAAGGCCCTGTGCTCTGGGTTTAAGACCACAGAGAAGGCCCTGTGCTCTGGGGTTAAGACCACAGAGAAGGCCCTGTGCTCTGGGGTTAAGACCACAGAGAAGGCCCTGTGCTCTGGGGTTAAGACCACAGAGAAGGCCCTGTGCTTTGGGGTTAAGACCACAGAGAAGGCCCTCTGCTCTGGGGTTGAGACCACAGAGAAGGCCCTGTGCTCTGGGTTTTAAGTCTAGTCCCTTATCAGATACAGTAAGAAAGACTCGACTTTAGCCTGATTTAATGACAACACCATCTCCATCTATCTCGAGCCAAAGTGCACCTTTGTCCAGACATTAAAACCATTTATTATACGGCTCCTCACAGCAGCAGGAGAATGCTCCATTGATTTGAATGTAATTTCAAAACGTTCTACCGGTCATTATTTTCTATAACGGACCTCTCAAAACAATAATGACCGCTGCCCATGGCAACGCTCTCTCTGCTTGTCTTTCAAATGCGTGGATAACTCCGCAAGTAGTTCCGGCCACTCCTGAGCTAGCCACGCTCAATCAACACACTTAAATGTTAATCGGAGAATACTTATACATATACATTCTTCACACACGTGCACGGAAATTTTCAGAATTTTCTGGTCTTGTCTTCATGACAAAAATACTATTTCTCTGCGTCAAAAAGTGATCGTGAAAAACCCGGAAGTAGTTCTGGCCGCTCAATAAACGCAAATGCCAATCAATCAACGCAATGAAATGTTTATCGGAGAGTGAATTATACATATCCAGTCTTAATACAAGTGCACGGAAGTTTTCAGAATTTTCCGTTTACGTTTTCATGACAAAAAACACTGATGTAATGCGAGAAAAGGCGATCCCGAAAAACCCGGAAGTAGATACCGGCACATTTTAAGAGACCGGCACATTTTCGGACACATTTGCAGAGGATCGAATTATGGATTTAGGTTAGGTTTATGTTTGGGTCACTCACCGCTGATGTTCAGAATTCTTTGTTCAGTTTTCATGCAGTTCCAGAGAGTTCTAGTTTGGAAGTTGCCAGCCTAACTGTTGCTAGCATAGCCACAATTGTCAAAGCCACACTGCGTGCCCGCGGTTGCCGAGCAACGGGAAAACTTTTTGGGACTACTTTATTTGTTGTCATTAAATAAACTTTTGGCATTCATAAAAGTGATCTGAAGTTTATTTTGTGTGTTAAGTTGGTACAAAGCAGTATAATAAGCAGGATAATGTATAGCATACAGGTCATTATCGGAAAATAAGTACCTTCAGGGCGGAAGCAGACCCCTCAGGGTCCGCTTCGCCCTGTCGGTACTTATTTTCCGATAATGACCTGTATGCTATACATTATCCCTTACTTAATATATCCGCCTGGGATCGCTCTCCTGCTGATCTTGCTTCTAAATATTGAATGTTCAAACAAACCATCACACGACACACAGTGAGAGCTTGTACTAACACAGAGCGATGTCAGTTTAATGTCACTTTTGAGAGGATTGTGAGCAGCTTTGCACAGTAGTAACGTGCCTTCATCTCGCCTTCATCTCGTCTTCCTGGTTTCTCTTTTTCCCGTGGCTCTGTGGCTGTTCGGCTGCAGTCTGTTCATTGTTTGAAAGGTCACACAGCGAGCAGCGATTTCACAAAATGTCACTACAACACAACCTTTATTCTGAGTTTAATGCACAGTGAAAGCAGCCGGGAAAGTTCCTTCGTTAAAACAATAGAGAAGTACAGCCTCAATCAAAGAAAATGGCAAAAAACCTGTCACAAAGTCCTTCACAGGCACGGCCTTAGGTCGAATCAGGATTTGAGAATCATAATGAGACCTTCTTCAAATATCTCTGAACTACTGTTATCGGTTAAAGAAGGATTGGAAAAGAGCAGTTTATTATTATGACAGATTAGGGCCCTTTAAAAATGACAGATTAGGGCCCTTTAATGATTTCAGGTTAGGGCCCTTTAATGATGACAGATTAGGACCCTTTAATGATGACAGATTAGGACCCTTTAATGATGACAGATTAGGGCCCTTTAATGATGACAGATTAGGGCCCTTTAATGATGACAGATTAGGGCCCTTTAATGATGACAGATTAGGGCCCTTTAATGATGACAGATTAGGGCCCTTTAATGATGACAGATTAGGGCCCTTTAATGATGACAGATTAGGGCCCTTTAATGATTTCAGGTTAGGGCCCTTTAATGATGACAGATTAGGACCCTTTAATGATGACAGATTAGGACCCTTTAATGATGACAGATTAGGGCCCTTTAATGATGACAGATTAGGGCCCTTTATTGATGGCAGATTAGGGCCCTTTAATGACGGCAGATTAGGGCTCTTGAATGATGGCAGATTAGGGCTCTTGAATGATGGCAGATTAGGGCCCTTTAATGATGGCAGATTAGGGCCCTTTATTGATGGCAGATTAGGGCCCTTTAATGACGGCAGATTAGGGCTCTTGAATGATGGCAGATTAGGGCTCTTGAATGATGGCAGATTAGGGCCCTTTAATGATGACAGATTAGGGCCCTTTAATGATGACAGATTAGGGCCCTTTAATGATTTCAGGTTAGGGCCCTTTAATGATGACAGGTTAGGGCCCTTTAATGATGACAGATTAGGACCCTTTAATGATGACAGATTAGGGCCCTTTAATGATGACAGATAACGGTCCGTTAATGATGGCAGATTAGGGCCCTTTAATGATGGCAGATCAGGGCCCTTTAATGATGGCAGATCAGGGCCCTTTAATGATGGCAGATCAGGGCCCTTTAATGATGGCAGATTAGGGCCCTTTAATGATGGCAGATTAGGGCCCTTTATTGATGGCATATTAGGGCCCTTTAATGACGGCAGAATAGGGCTCTTGAATGACGGCAGATTAGGGCCCTTTAATGATGGCAGATTAGGGCCCTTTAATGATGGCAGATTAGGGCCCTTTAATGACGGCAGATAACGGTCCTTTAATGATGACAGATTAGGACCCTTTAATGATGACAGATTAGGGCCCTTTAATGATGACAGATTAGGGCCCTTTATTGATGGCAGATTAGGGCCCTTTAATGACGGCAGATTAGGGCTCTTGAATGATGGCAGATTAGGGCTCTTGAATGATGGCAGATTAGGGCCCTTTAATGATGGCAGATTAGGGCCCTTTATTGATGGCAGATTAGGGCCCTTTAATGACGGCAGATTAGGGCTCTTGAATGATGGCAGATTAGGGCTCTTGAATGATGGCAGATTAGGGCCCTTTAATGATGACAGATTAGGGCCCTTTAATGATGACAGATTAGGGCCCTTTAATGATTTCAGGTTAGGGCCCTTTAATGATGACAGGTTAGGGCCCTTTAATGATGACAGATAACGGTCCGTTAATGATGGCAGATTAGGGCCCTTTAATGATGGCAGATCAGAGCCCTTTAATGATGGCAGATCAGGGCCCTTTAATGACGGCAGATTAGGGCCCTTTAATGATGGCAGATTAGGGCCCTTTATTGATGGCAGATTAGGGCCCTTTATTGATGGCATATTAGGGCCCTTTAATGACGGCAGAATAGGGCTCTTGAATGACGGCAGATTAGGGCCCTTTAATGATGGCAGATTAGGGCCCTTTAATGATGGCAGATTAGGGCCCTTTAATGACAACAGATAACGGTCCTTTAATGATGACGGATTAGGGCCATTTAATGATGGCAGATTAGGGCCCTTTAATGATGGCAGATAACGGTCCTTTAATGATGGCAGATTAGGGCCCTTTAATGATGGCAGATAACGGTCCTTTAATGATAACTAAACATGAAAATCTTTCATACTGTTACTTTCTATCACAGCCTGAGACCCCTGACCGTCCCCATCGTGACGGCCCCTGACCATCCCCATGGTGACGGCCCCTTTGCTTGTTCCCAGGTCTCTGTCACTTTGGAGAACTTCCAGGACATCTCGCTGCCGATCCCCGGGAAGGAGGACCTGGCCAAGCTGCACTCGGCGTCGCACCAGACGGCGTTGGTGAAGGCGGGATCGTGCGGCGAGGCATACGCTGCTCAGGGCTGGATCGCCTTCGTCATGGAGTACATCAAGAGCTGGTTCTGGGGCCCCGTGGTGACGCTCCAGGACTGTCTCGCCGCGTTCTTCGCTCGCGATGAACTCAAAGGTGTGGGAACAGGTTTGGTATTCAATCTGGGGAGGGTTTCTCAGCTGGTCTGGGAACGCCTCAGGATTCCCCCAGATGAGCTGGAGTGTGGAGAGGGAAGGCTGGGGCTTCTTTGTCAGGATATATCAACGATGGTCTCTCTGGTCTCTCTCTCACTCTCTGGTCTCTCTTTTTCTCTGGTCTCTCTCTGGTCTTACTCTCCGGTCTCTCTCTCTCTCTCTCTGGTCTCTCTCTCTCTGGCCCCTCTCTCTGGCCCCTCTCTCTTGTCACTCTCTGGTCTCTCTCTCTGGTCTCTCTCTGGCCTCTCTCTCTGGTCCCTCTCTCTTGTCACTCTCTGGTCTCTCTCTCTGGTCTCTCTCTCTGGTCTCTCTCTCTGGTCTCTCTCTCTCTGGCCCCTCTCTCTGGTCTTACTCTCCGGTCTCTCTCTCTCTCTGGTCTCTCTCTCTCTGGCCCCTCTCTCTGGCCTCTCTCTCTTGTCACTCTCTGGCCTCTCTCTCTGGCCTCTCTCTCTGGCCTCTCTCTCTGGCCTCTCTCTCTGGTCTCTCTCTCTGGCCTCTCTCTCTGGCCTCTCTCTCTGGTCTCTCTCTCTCTAGCCTCTCTCTCTAGCCTCTCTCTCTGGTCTCTCTCTGGCCTCTCTCTCTGGCCCCTCTCTCTGGCCTCTCTCTCTGGCCTCTCTCTGGCCTCTCTCTCTGGTCTCTCTCTCTGGTCTCTCTCTCTGGTCTCTCTCTCTCTAGCCTCTCTCTCTGGCCTCTCTCTCTGGCCTGTCTCTCTGGTCTCTCTCTCTCTAGCCTCTCTCTCTGGCCTCTCTCTCTAGCCTCTCTCTCTGGCCTCTCTCTCTGGCCTCTCTCTCTGGTCTCTCTCTCTGGCCTCTCTCTCTAGCCTCTCTCTCTGGCCTCTCTCTCTGGCCTCTCTCTCTGGCCTCTCTCTCTGGCCCCTCTCTCTGGCCTCTCTCTCTTGTCACTCTCTGGCCTCTCTCTCTGGCCTCTCTCTGGCCTCTCTCTCTGGTCTCTCTCTCTGGTCTCTCTCTCTGGTCTCTCTCTCTGGTCTCTCTCTCTGGTCTCTCTCTCTGGTCTCTCTCTCTGGCCTCTCTCTCTGGTCTCTCTCTCTGGTCTCTCTCTCTGGCCTCGCTCTCTGGTCTCGCTCTCTGGCCTCTCTCTCTGGTCTCTCTCTCTGGTCTCTCTCTCTGGTCTCTCTCTCTGGCCTCTCTCTCTGGTCTCTCTCTCTCTAGCCTCTCTCTCTGGCCTCTCTCTCTGGTCTCTCTCTCTCTAGCCTCTCTCTCTGGCCTCTCTCTCTGGCCTCTCTCTCTGGCCTCTCTCTCTGGTCTCTCTCTCTCTAGCCTCTCTCTCTAGCCTCTCTCTCTGGCCTCTCTCTCTGGCCTCTCTCTCTGGCCTCTCTCTCTGGCCTCTCTCTCTCTCTGGCCTCTCTCTCTAGCCTCTCTCTCTGGCCTCTCTCTCTGGTCTCTCTCTCTAGCCTCTCTCTCTGGCCTCTCTCTCTGGCCTCTCTCTCTGGTCTCTCTCTCTCTAGCCTCTCTCTCTGGCCTCTCTCTCTCTGGCCTCTCTCTGGCCCCTCTCTCTGGTCTTACTCTCCGGTCTCTCTCTCTCTGGTCTCTCTCTCTCTGGCCCCTCTCTCTTGTCACTCTCTCGTCTCTCTCTCTGGTCTCTCTCTGGCCTCTCTCTCTGGCCTCTCTCTCTGGTCTCTCTCTCTGGTCTCTCTCTCTCTGGCCCCTCTCTCTGGTCTTACTCTCCGGTCTCTCTCTCTCTCTGGTCTCTCTCTCTCTGGCCCCTCTCTCTGGCCTCTCTCTCTTGTCACTCTCTGGCCTCTCTCTTTCTGGTCTCTCTCTCTGGCCTCTCTCTCTGGCCTCTCTCTCTTGTCACTCTCTGGCCTCTCTCTCTGGTCTCTCTCTCTCTAGCCTCTCTCTGTGGCCTCTCTCTCTGGTCTCTCTCTCTCTAGCCTCTCTCTCTGGCCTCTCTCTCTGGCGTCTCTCTCTGGCCTCTCTCTCTGGTCTCTCTCTCTCTAGCCTCTCTCTCTGGTCTCTCTCTCTGGCCTCTCTCTCTGGCCTCTCTCTCTGGCCTCTCTCTGGCCTCTCTCTCTGGCCTCTCTCTCTGGCCCCTCTCTCTGGCCTCTCTCTCTTGTCACTCTCTGGCCTCTCTCTCTCTTGTCACTCTCTGGCCTCTCTCTCTGGCCTCTCTCTCTGGCCTCTCTCTCTGGCCTCTCTCTGGTCTCTCTCTCTGGTCTCTCTCTCTGGTCTCTCTCTCTCTGGTCTCTCTCTCTCTGGCCTCTCTCTCTGGCCTCTCTCTCTGGCCTCTCTATCTGGCCTCTCTATCTGGCCTCTCTCTCTGGCCTCTCTCTGGCCTCTCTCTGGCCTCTCTCTCTGGCCTCTCTCTCTGGCCTCTCTCTCTGGCCTCTCTCTCTGGCCTCTCTCTCTGGCGTCTCTCTCTGGCCTCTCTCTCTGGTCTCTCTCTCTCTAGCCTCTCTCTCCTGGTCTCTCTCTGGCTCTCTCTCTGGCCTCTCTCTCTGGTCTCTCTCTCTGGTCTCTCTCTCTCTGGCCTCTCTCTCTGGCCTCTCTCTCTGGCCTCTCTCTCTGGCCTCTCTCTCTGGCCTCTCTCTCTGGCCTCTCTCTCTGGCCTCTCTCTCTGGCCTCTCTCTCTGGCCCCTCTCTCTGGCCTCTCTCTCTTGTCACTCTCTGGCCTCTCTCTCTCTTGTCACTCTCTGGCCTCTCTCTCTGGCCTCTCTCTCTGGCCTCTCTCTCTGGCCTCTCTCTCTGGCCTCTCTCTCTGGTCTCTCTCTCTGGTCTCTCTCTCTGGCCTCTCTCTCTGGCCTCTCTATCTGGCCTCTCTCTCTGGCCTCTCTCTCTGGCCTCTCTCTCTGGTCTCTCTCTCTCTAGCCTCTCTCTCTCTGGCCTCTCTCTCCGGCCTCTCTCTCTCTGGCCTCTCTCTCTGGCCTCTCTCTCTGGCCTCTCTCTCTGGCCTCTCTCTCTGGCCTCTCTCTCTCTCTGGCCTCTCTCTCTGGCTCTCTCTCTGGTCTCTCTCTCTCTGCCTCTCTCTCTGGCCTCTCTCTCTGGCCTCTCTCTCTGGCCTCTCTCTCTGGCCTCTCTCTCTGGCCTCTCTCTCTGGCCTCTCTCTCTCTAGCCTCTCTCTCTGGCCTCTCTCTCTCTGGCTCTCTCTCTGGCCTCTCTCTCTGGCCTCTCTCTCTGGCCTCTCTCTCTCTGGCCTCTCTCTCTGGCCTCTCTCTCTGGCCTCTCTCTCTGGCCTCTCTCTCTGGCCTCTCTCTCTGGCCTCTCTCTCTCTGGCCTCTCTCTCTCTGGCCTCTCTCTCTCTGGCCTCTCTCTCTCTGGCCTCTCTCTCTCTGGCCTCTCTCTCTCTGGCCTCTCTCTCTCTGGCCTCTCTCTCTCTGACCTCTCTCTCTGGCCTCTCTCTCTGGCCTCTCTCTCTGGCCTCTCTCTTTGGCCTCTCTCTCTGGCCTCTCTCTCTGGCCTCTCTCTCTGGTCTCTCTCTCTGGCCTCTCTCTCTGGCCTCTCTCTCTGGCCTCTCTCTCTGGCCTCTCTCTCTGGCCTCTCTCTGGCCTCTCTCTGGTCTCTCTCTCTGGCCTCTCTCTCTGGCCTCTCTCTCTGGTCTCTCTCTCTGGCCTCTCTCTCTGGCCTCTCTCTCTGCGGCTGTAAAATGCGCTGTATAAAAAAAGATGGAAGAGATGGAACTAGTTTTACATTGATTTTATGACATAGTTAAATTATTGTGGTTTGAAAGTTACATACTCCAGCTTTAAATGTAGTGGGAAGAGATTGTACTTTTCTCCATTGTATCTATGTTTTTGATAAAAAAAAAATAGTAGATCAATGTCCACGTTATGAATGTTACTACAGAAGTTCGCAGCTTGGTGTGTTCTCTTTAATCTGATTGTTGTACTTTTTGTTCCCAACTCTCTCTCGTAATAATTAGTTTGACCTTTTGTTTGTTTCCAGGGGACAACATGTACAGCTGTGAAAAATGCAAGAAGTGAGTTCCTTGTGTTTTTTATCTTTTATTTTAAGATATTCAGGACTGTAATGTGATCTGACTTCTTTTTACTTTTAGATTACGAAACGGAGTCAAATTCTGCAAGATGCAAAGTCTCCCCGAGGTACAGACTTTCAAACTAAACACCTTTCATTTTACAGTACCTTTTTCTGCATGGTTTGAAACTACAGCATCTTTTGGTGCTTGGATTGTGTTGTATCTTTCTCCCTCTCCTTATCCTACTCTGTCTGACTGTCTGTATGTCTCTCTCTCTCTGTCTGTCTCTCAGTCTCTGTTTGTCTCTGTCTCTCTCTGTCTCTTATTGTGTCTTACTGTCTGTCTCTGTGTCTGTCCGTCTCTGTCTCTGTCTCTGTCTCTCTCTCTCTCTCTCTCTCTCTCTCTCTCTCTCTCTCTTTCTCTCTCTCTTTCTCTCGCTCTCGCTCTCGCTCTCGCTCTCTCTGTCTATGTCTGTCTCTCTGTATCTCTCTCTGTCTCTGACCTCTATTTTTCTATCTATATCCCCATCTCTTGATCTCGCTCCCCATTTCTCACATAAAATCTCGACAACAGAGTTAATAACATGCAGTAAAATGACCAGGAACCAATTTCTTCTTTATCCTTAGTTTGGTTTGAACAGTCAAAAAAATGCATAACACTCGCTGTGGTTCCAAAGTGTGTGAGGCGTGTGGTCAGGGGGAGAAGAGGCGTGCGGTCAGGAGGAGAAGAGGCGTGTGGTCAGGAGGAGAAGAGGCGTGTGGTCAGGGGGAGAAGAGGCGTGTGGTCAGGAGGAGAAGAGGCGTGTGATCAGGGGGAGAAGAGGCGTGTGATCAGGAGGAGAAGAGGCGTGTGATCAGGGGGAGAAGAGGCGTGTGATCAGGGGGAGAAGAGGCGTGTGGTCAGGAGGAGAAGAGGCGTGTGGTCAGGAGGAGAAGAGGCGTGTGGTCAGGAGGAGAAGAGGCGTGTGATCAGGGGGAGAAGAGGCGTGTGATCAGGAGGAGAAGAGGCGTGTGGTCAGGAGGAGAAGAGGCGTGTGATCAGGGGGAGAAGAGGCGTGTGATCAGGAGGAGAAGAGGCGTGTGGTCAGGAGGAGAAGAGGCGTGTGGTCAGGGGGAGAAGAGGCGTGTGGTCAGGAGGAGAAGAGGCGTGTGATCAGGGGGAGAAGAGGCGTGTGATCAGGAGGAGAAGAGGCGTGTGATCAGGGGGAGAAGAGGCGTGTGATCAGGGGGAGAAGAGGCGTGTGGTCAGGAGGAGAAGAGGCGTGTGGTCAGGAGGAGAAGAGGCGTGTGGTCAGGAGGAGAAGAGGCGTGTGGTCAGGAGAAGAGGCGTGTGGTCAGGAGGAGAAGAGGCGTGTGGTCAGGAGGAGAAGAGGCGTGTGGTCAGGGGGAGAAGAGGCGTGCGGTCAGGAGGAGAAGAGGCGTGTGGTCAGGAGAAGAGGCGTGTGGTCAGGAGGAGAAGAGGCGTGTGGTCAGGGGGAGAAGAGGCGTGTGATCAGGGGGAGAAGAGGCGTGTGATCAGGGGGAGAAGAGGCGTGTGGTCAGGAGGAGAAGAGGCGTGTGGTCAGAGGGAGAAGAGGCGTGTGGTCAGGAGGAGAAGAGGCGTGTGGTCAGGAGGAGAAGAGGCGTGTGGTCAGGAGGAGAAGAGGCGTGTGGTCAGGAGGAGAAGAGGCGTGCGGTCAGGAGGAGAAGAGGCGTGTGGTCAGGAGGAGAAGAGGCGTGTGGTCAGGAGAAGAGGCGTGTGGTCAGGAGGAGAAGAGGCGTGTGGTCAGGAGGAGAAGAGGCGTGTGGTCAGGGGGAGAAGAGGCGTGTGGTCAGGAGGAGAAGAGGCGTGTGGTCAGGAGGAGAAGAGGCGTGCGGTCAGGAGGAGAAGAGGCGTGCGGTCAGGAGGAGAAGAGGCGTGTGGTCAGGAGGAGAAGAGGCGTGCGGTCAGGAGGAGAAGAGGCGTGCGGTCAGGAGGAGAAGAGGCGTGTGGTCAGGGGGAGAAGAGGCGTGTGGTCAGGGGGAGAAGAGGCGTGCGGTCAGGAGGAGAAGAGGCGTGTGGTCAGGAGGAGAAGAGGCGTGTGGTCAGGAGGAGAAGAGGCGTGTGGTCAGGAGGAGAAGAGGCGTGTGGTCAGGAGGAGAAGAGGCGTGTGGTCAGGAGGAGAAGAGGCGTGTGGTCAGGGGGAGAAGAGGCGTGTGGTCAGGAGGAGAAGAGGCGTGTGGTCAGGGGGAGAAGAGGCGTGTGGTCAGGAGGAGAAGAGGCGTGTGGTCAGGAGGAGAAGAGGCGTGTGGTCAGGAGGAGAAGAGGCGTGTGGTCAGGAGGAGAAGAGGCGTGCGGTCAGGAGGAGAAGAGGCGTGTGATCAGGGGGAGAAGAGACGTGTGGTCAGGAGGAGAAGAGGCGTGCGGTCAGGAGGAGAAGAGGCGTGTGATCAGGGGGAGAAGAGGCGTGTGGTCAGGAGGAGAAGAGGCGTGTGGTCAGGAGGAGAAGAGACGTGTGATCAGGGGGAGAAGAGACGTGTGGTCAGGAGGAGAAGAGGCGTGTGATCAGGGGGAGAAGAGACGTGTGGTCAGGAGGAGAAGAGGCGTGCGGTCAGGAGGAGAAGAGGCGTGTGATCAGGGGGAGAAGAGACGTGTGGTCAGGAGGAGAAGAGGCGTGTGGTCAGGAGGAGAAGAGGCGTGCGGTCAGGAGGAGAAGAGGCGTGTGATCAGGGGGAGAAGAGACGTGTGGTCAGGAGGAGAAGAGGCGTGCGGTCAGGAGGAGAAGAGGCGTGTGTGATCAGGGGGAGAAGAGACGTGTGGTCAGGAGGAGAAGAGGCGTGCGGTCAGGAGGAGAAGAGGCGTGTGATCAGGGGGAGAAGAGACGTGTGGTCAGGGGGAGAAGAGGCGTGTGGTCAGGAGGAGAAGAGGCGTGTGGTCAGGAGGAGAAGAGGCGTGTGATCAGGGGGAGAAGAGACGTGCTGTCAGGAGGAGAAGAGGCGTGCGGTCAGGAGGAGAAGAGGCGTGTGATCAGGGGGAGAAGAGGCGTGTGGTCAGGGGGAGAAGAGGCGTGTGGTCAGGGGGAGAAGAGGCGTGTGGTCAGGAGGAGAAGAGGCGTGCGGTCAGGAGGAGAAGAGGCGTGTGATCAGGGGGAGAAGAGGCGTGTGGTCAGGGGGAGAAGAGGCGTGTGGTCAGGAGGAGAAGAGGCGTGTGGTCAGGAGGAGAAGAGGCGTGTGGTCAGGAGGAGAAGAGGCGTGTGGTCAGGAGGAGAAGAGGCGTGTGATCAGGGGGAGAAGAGGCGTGTGGTCAGAGGGAGAAGAGGCGTGTGGTCAGGAGGAGAAGAGGCGTGCGGTCAGGAGGAGAAGAGGCGTGTGGTCAGAGGGAGAAGAGGCGTGTGGTCAGGAGGAGAAGAGGCGTGCGGTCAGGAGGAGAAGAGGCGTGTGGTCAGGGGGAGAAGAGGCGTGTGGTCAGGAGGAGAAGAGGCGTGTGGTCAGGAGGAGAAGAGGCGTGTGGTCAGGAGGAGAAGAGGCGTGTGGTCAGGGGGAGAAGAGGCGTGTGGTCAGGAGGAGAAGAGGCGTGTGATCAGGGGGAGAAGAGGCGTGTGGTCAGGAGGAGAAGAGGCGTGTGATCAGGGGGAGAAGAGGCGTGTGATCAGGGGGAGAAGAGGCGTGTGGTCAGGAGGAGAAGAGGCGTGTGGTCAGGAGGAGAAGAGGCGTGTGGTCAGGAGGAGAAGAGGCGTGCGGTCAGGGGGAGAAGAGGCGTGTGGTCAGGAGGAGAAGAGGCGTGTGGTCAGGAGGAGAAGAGGCGTGTGGTCAGGAGGAGAAGAGGCGTGTGGTCAGGGGGAGAAGAGACGTGTGGTCAGGAGGAGAAGAGGCGTGTGGTCAGGAGGAGAAGAGGCGTGTGGTCAGGAGGAGAAGAGGCGTGTGGTCAGGAGGAGAAGAGGCGTGTGGTCAGGAGGAGAAGAGGCGTGCGGTCAGGAGGAGAAGAGGCGTGTGGTCAGGAGGAGAAGAGGCGTGTGGTCAGGAGGAGAAGAGGCGTGTGGTCAGGAGGAGAAGAGGCGTGTGGTCAGGAGGAGAAGAGGCGTGTGGTCAGGAGGAGAAGAGGCGGAGCCACCGGAGCAGCTCACGATGAAGAGTGTCCTCATCACACGGCTCTTCATCTTCAACAATTTCAATTCAATAATAATGTGTTTTGTCCCAACAGCAGCCGACAAAGCTGTGGATTCACCAACAACAGATCAGTGTTTTAAACAGTTTAAATACAGAAATGCAATCATGACTGGAGGCTGTAGACCCAGGACTGGAGGCTGTAGACCCAGGACTGGAGGCTGTAGACCCAGGACTGGAGGCTGTAGACCCAGGACTGGAGGCTGTAGACCCAGGGCTGGAGGCTATAGACCCAGGGCTGAGGCTGTAGACCCAGGACTGGAGGCTGTAGACCCAGGACTGGAGGCTGTAGACCCAGGACTGGAGGCTGCAGACCCAGGACTGGAGGCTGCAGACCCAGGACTGGAGGCTGCAGACCCAGGACTGGAGGCTGCAGACCCAGGACTGGAGGCTGCAGACCCAGGACTGGAGGCTGCAGACCCAGGACTGGAGGCTGCAGACCCAGGACTGGAGGCTGCAGACCCAGGACTGGAGGCTGCAGACCCAGGACTGGAGGCTGCAGACCCAGGGACTGAGGACATTTACTATAATTCCCTGGACGGTGGTCATTCTGCTCTCTATGTAATCGAACTGTTTGATTCTCTGATCTGTTTTTGGTGAATCCACAACTTGGTAAAGTGCTCAGCCGACTGCTGTTGTGATTTGGGGCAATACACAAACAAATGTAAATGAATTAAATCCTCACGGTGTAAATGTTATGATAGGATCGCACAGCAGAGAAAGGTTTGATTGTGATCGTTATGGGGCAGCCCTTGTGAACGGTTACCTTGATTGTAATTGGCCGTCGTGTTTCGCCTGCTCCCTCCTGATTGGTCGCTGGTGTCTCTGGTGCAGATCCTGTGCGTCCACCTGAAGCGGTTCCGACACGAGCTGATGTTCTCCACAAAGATCTGCACTCACGTCTCCTTCCCCCTCGAGGGCCTCGACCTGCAGCCGTTTTTATCCAAAGACAGTCCGCCTCAGACGACCAACTACGACCTGCTCTCGGTCATCTGCCACCACGGCACCGCCAGCAGTAAGTACTCGCTCAATACTGCTGCTGCTTTCACAGCAATTTCCAAGTCTGACTTCCTGTTACTTACGTGGCAATAAAAAGGATTCTGATTCTGATTATGGTTCTGAAGCTGGAAAAATATTTAGACATTTATGAAGTTTTGTAAATAAACATTAAATTAAAGGAGCAGTATGTGAAAATGTGGCCTCAAGTGGTACTGCAGCCTCTCCCACTCTCCCTGACTCAGGTTGCCAGATATGCAGACGAATCCAGCTGGGACCATAACAGCTGAATAGACAAGAGTTTTGTCAACAACAAATCTATAACCAACACCTTTTTCACAAAGATAGAAATCCTGGTTTTATTCCTTGTTTTGTCGTTAATGATTTGAGAATCATAACGAGACCTTTTTTAGTTCTGCGCCACATGGTACTTTACCAGTGAGATTAGCTCCACGCGGTGAGTTCTGGCGCCCGGATCACAGACTTTCTGATTGGTGAAACGGTGGAGGGCGGGACATCAAAATGAAAACAATAACAAGATTTAGGGGCTGGAAAAGTAATTTAGAAATTCAAATATCTCTGAACTTCTGTTATCAGTTAAAGAAGTATTGGAAAAGAACAGTTTATTATTATGACAGATTATGGCCCTTTAATGATGACAGATTAGGGCCCTTTAATGATGACAGATTAGGGCCCTTTAATGATGACAGATTAGGGCCCTTTAAGGATGACAGATTAGGGCCTTTTAATGACGACAGATTAGGGCCCTTTAATGACGACAGATTAGGGCCCTTTAATGACGACAGATTAGGGCCCTTTGATGACGACAGATTAGGGCCCTTTAATGATGACAGATTAGGGCCCTTTAATGACGACAGATTAGGGCCCTTTAATGACGACAGATTAGGGCCCTTTAATGATGACAGATTAGGGCCCTTTAATGATGACAGATTAGGGCCCTTTAATGACAACAGATTAGGGCCCTTTAATGACGACAGATCAGGGCCCTTTAATGATTAGACATGAAAATCTTGCATATTGCTACTTTAATTTACAATAAATATTGATAATAAAAATAAGGAAAGTAAAGAATACTGTACAAAATACATTTTCCGTCATGTATTCAGAATTCTGGACTGGAGTACCTTTTCAAAGCATTTTACCCAACACTGGCTTTATGTGTATTTTATGTATAGCAGCCTCTGAGTCCAAGACTAATTTACTCCGGGACATGATAACTTAATCTTGAATCTTGAATTTCCTGAGCAGAGTCTTCAGATTAATGTAAGTTAATAAGTTAGTACTGATCAGACCCAGAGCGGTGTCCGTCTGACAGCAGTGAGTGGGCAGCATCCTGCTGTACGTGTGGAAGCCGTGGAGACTGAGCTGTGATTCTGTCGCAGGTGGACATTACATCGCCTACTGCCGCAACGACACCAACAACTTGTGGTACGAGTTTGACGACCAGAGCGTGACCGAGGTGTCGGAGTCCTGTGTTCAGAACGCCGAGGCCTACGTCCTGTTCTACAAGTGAGTGGCTCGTCTCAGACCAGAGAGACCCACTACTATACACACTCTCTTTCTCTCTATGGTCTCTCTCATTCTCTATGGTTTCTCTCTTTCTCTCTGGTCTCGCTCTCTTGTCTCTCTCTTTCTGGTCTTTCTCACTCTTTTCTCTTATCTCTGTCTCTGATCTTTCTCTGATCTCTCTCTGGTCTCTCTCTTTTCTCTCCCTCCTGTCTCTCTCTTGTCTCTCTCTCTCTCTCTCTGGTCTCTCTCTCTGGTCTCTTTCTCTGGTCACTCTTGTCTCTCCTCTCTCACTCTAGTCTCTCTCTGGTCTCTAGTCTCTCTCTCTCTCTCCCTCCTGTCTCTCCCTCCTGTCTCTCTCTCTCTGGTCTCTCTCTCTGGCCTCTCCCTCCTGTCTCTCTCTTTTCTCTCCCTCGTGTCTCTCTCTCTGGTCTTTCCCTCCTGTCTCTCTCTTTTCTCTCCCTCCTGTCTCTCTCTTTTCTCTCCCTCGTGTCTCTCTCTCTGGTCTCTCCCTCCTGTCTCTCTCTGGTCTCTCCCTCCTGTCTCTCTCTTTTCTCTCCCTCCTGTCTCTCTCTTTTCTCTCCCTCGTGTCTCTCTCTCTGGTCTCTCTCTCTCTCGTCTCATTATTTTTCCTTCAAAGTGTTCAAAAACATATGCATGATGTTGGCCAGTATAAAAAGGACTTTCAGACCATCTGATATACCGTCTAAAAACTGGTCCATATTTGAAAACGAACATAAAGCCTTTTGTGCTCTTTCTCTTAGAATTTAGTTATTAAAGGAAAACACACAAATCCTATGTTTTTTCACGTTTTTCTCCACTTCACAATCTCTGTACAAACGCTCGATTCTGATTGGTCGTCAGGAAAAGCAACGAGGAGGCGGTGAAGGAGAGGAGGAGGGTGTCTGGACTTCTGAACACCTCGGAGCCCAGTCTGCTGCAGTTCTACGTCTCCAGACAGTGGCTCAACAAGTTCAAGACCTTCGCTGAACCAGGACCCATCTGCAACAGCGACTTCCTCTGCGCTCACGGAGGTATGTGTCCACACCATGGGCCTTCAGGGCACCAGAAGCACCAGGTGAATGTACCAGAGACTTTCATTTCAATACTTAAAGATCAGATCAGATTCATTTCAATACATCCGCGGAAGTCCCCAGTGTGCACCAGACAAGTACATACATAAAACAAGGTTCAAAGTACAGACATAAAACCAACAGGAAACATTTGACACTGAAGGTCGAGAAGAAGACATTTTATTGATGTTGAATCGATACGAACCAAGATTTTCAGTGTGCACAGGGTTTTATTATACAACACAAAGCAGACACTTCTCTCAAAGTCTGCGGCGGCACCAATGGTCGACCATAAAACCAAATCACCAGTCCTTTTTACAGTTACAATGACAAGCTTTGGTTCAAACAGAATTGCTTCAAAAGTGTCAAAAAGCTTTAACTCTGTGGGCGCCACAGGTTTTCTCCTAAAACGCTCAATTCTGACATTTTCATTTCAAAAGGCCATGAGTTAAACTGAATTATTAAAATCTAATTTGCATATTATGACGTCATACGGTGGTGGCAGTTGTGATGTTTTTTTCATTTTACTTTTTTTCTCTCTGGTCTCTCTCTCTCTGGTCTCTCTCTGGCCTCTCTCTCTGGCCTCTCTCTGGCCTCTCTCTCTGGCCTCTCTCTGGCCTCTCTCTCTGGCCTCTCTCTCTGGCCTCTCTCTCTGGCCTCTCTCTCTGGCCTCTCTCTCTGGCCTCTCTCTCTGGCCTCTCTCTCTGGTCTCTCTCTGGTCTCTCCCTGGTCTCTCTCTGGTCGCTCTCTCTGGTCTCTCTCTCGTCTGTCTCTGGTCTCTCTCTGGTCTCTCTCTGGTCTCGCTTTGGTCTCTCTCTGGTCTCGCTTTGGTCTCGCTTTGGTCTCTCTCTCTGGTCTCTCTTTGGTCTCTCTCTGGTCTCTCTGGTCTCTCTCTGGTCGCTCTCTGGTCTCTCTCTCTGGTCTCTCTCTCTGGTCTCGCTTTGGTCTCGCTTTGGTCTCTCTCTCTGGTATCTCTTTAGTCTCTCTCTGGTCTCTCTCTCTGGTCTCTCTCTCTGGCCTTTCTCTCTGGTCTCTCTCTCTGGTCTCTCTCTCTGGTCTCTCTCTGGTCTCTATCTGGCCTCTCTCTGGTCTCTCTCTCTGGTCTCTCTCTGACCTCTCTCTCTGGTCTCTCTCTGGTCTCTCTCTGGTCTCTCTCTGGTCTCTCTCTGGTCTCTCTCTGGTCTCTCTCTGGCCTCTCTCTATGGTCTCTCTCTGGTCTCTCTCTGGTCTCTCTCTGGTCTCTCTCTGGCCTCTCTCTGGTCTCTCTCTCTGGTCTCTCTCTGGTCTCTCTGGTCTCTCTCTGGCCTCTCTCTGGTCTCTCTCTCTGGTCTCTCTCTGGTCTCTCTCTGGCCTCTCTCTGGTCTCTCTCTCTGGTCTCTCTCTGGTCTCTCTCTGGTCTCTCTTTGGTCTCTCTCTGGTCTCTCTCTGGTCTCTCTGGTCTCTCTCTGGCCTCTCTCTGGTCTCTCTCTCTGGTCTCTCTCTGGTCTCTCTCTGGCTTCTCTCTGGTCTCTCTCTGGCCTCTCTCTCTGGTCTCTCTCTGGCCTCTCTCTGGCCTCTCTCTCTGGTCTCTCTCTGGCCTCTCTCTCTGGCCTCTCTCTGGTCTCTCTCTCTGGCCTCTCTCTCTGGCCTCTCTCTGGTCTCTCTCTGGTCTCTCTCTCTGGCCTCTCTCTCTGGTCTCTCTCTGGTCTCACAGTTCTCATTCAGAGCGGAGCACCTTTTTTAGAGCTCTTTCTTAGACTGTGATGGATGTGATTTAGGGCTATACACGAATACATTGAATTGAATTGAAATTGAATAGAATTTGTGTATTGCCCTAAATCACGACGGCAGTCAAAGTTGTCGATTTTCCATCAGCAGATCAGTGAATCAAACCCTCCGAACACAGGAAATGCAATGATAAAAAACACATAAAAACCATTGGTCCATAAGGAGTCCAGAAATGTTGATAAAAGTCCTGGATCATCTCTGTCTTTAAACTCCCATCAGCAAAGAACCACTCAAACAACCAGCTTTAAAGATAATAGCAAAACACCAAAGAATGAAAACCATCTCCTTCTGTGTCAGTTGCACTCAGTTGGACCCAGAGAGAGAGTAACGCGGTCGTCCTAAAAGCAGCTTTTGTGGACCCGTTTGGATCAGGGCCAGGTCTTCTCCGACTCTGACAAAGCAGCAGAGAGCGGCTCTTTCACGTCCCAGAACACTTCAAACAGGATCAGATTTTCTCTTTGAGCTCGGGATTGTGGAGGAGAAAAGGGAAAGGATTGCCGTCTGAAGCTGCTTCCCTGAAATTGAAAAATATCTGGGTCAAGTGTGAGTTTATGGGCTCTGGGCTGTAGCTCTTTGTGTTAGGCCTCAGTGAAGCTAATATCAGAGACATGGTTGGATACAAAAATACTAGTCAAAATGGAATGAAAGAGTATTAGTATTTTTGGTATTTTTGGTAATTATATCAACCTTCCATCCATCCATCCATTTTCTACCCTTTAATCCATTTCTGGGTCAGGGGGGTGGCACTCAGAGAGATGCCACCCAAGTCTCATAGCACCAGCCCCTCACTGACCCTCTGCAGGTGGTGAGTCCACAGGAGGACGGCTGCTCTCTGAGTGTGAGCATAGCCTTGATCTTTCAGTGGGGGCTTTGGGCAAAGTGGGGTTAAGTGTCTTGCCCAAGGACACAACGACAGCAGTCATCAGTGGGAGTCGGTGGAGAAGGTGTAGAGGTGGGAATTGAACCCACGACCTTCAGGCCTTAAGGCCAATGCTCTACCAACTGAGCTACTGTCGCCCCAACCTTATATCAACCTTATTCAAGATTATTCCATATTATACTGAAGCTAGGTGACGTTTAGATTCGCCTTTGCTAATTTATAGCTAATGAAGTGCTAATTGGTGCTCTCTCTGCTAACCCTAACTTCAGGAAAGCAACCACATTGAATTCATCCTAAACTTTAACCCCAACACATCACTAAAAGTTAAATATAGAACAATGTTTTGGTCCAGTTTTGGTTAGATCTAAACAATTAACACATTTTCAATTTTACAGAAGTAGAAAACTTTTAAGTCATGAAAAAAATCCCTTCATAATATAAAAAAAACCCCAATCTCTTCTATTCTTACCTACTCTATTCTAACTAACCCACATGAATTGTCATTTAGTAGTTAGTTAAATGTTGAATAAGGACTAATAAGTGCTGAATTAACAACAATTAAGAGCTGACTAACCATAAATTATACTCTAATTAGTGCTTGATTATCTGTTCAGTAGTGAGAGCTACAGGTATAGAATAAGCATAAAGTATAACTCTCTGCTGCCACCAGAGGGAAAATGTGTCGGGTTTGTGGTCTCTCTCTGGTCTCTCTGTGGTCTCTCTCTGTGGTCTCTCTCTCTGGTCTCTTTCTCTGGTCTCTCTGTAGTCTCTCTCTGGTCTGTCTCTGGTCTCTCTGTGGTCTCTCGCTCTGGTCTCTCTCTGGTCTCTCTCTGGTCTCTCTCTGGTCTCTCTCTGGTCTCTCTGTGGTCTCTTTCTCTGGTCTCTCTGTGGTCTCTCTGTGGTCTCTCTGTGGTCTCTCTGTGGTCTCTCTCTGGTCTGTCTCTCTGCTCTTTCTCTGGCCACTCCCTGGTCTCTCTCTTTCTGGTCTCTCTCTCTCTGGTCTCTCTCTGCTTTGAAAACAGTATAAAAAAGTGAGAAACCTCAGGGACGCCCATATTGACAGGGATCCACTTACAAACAAACAGACTTAACAGAGACTTAAACAAGTTAAATCCAGGACTAAAGTGAGATTAACTTTAATCGAGGCTTTTGTTTCCAATGACAACGGACATCATTAAAATGCAGTCTTTGTTGTGAAAGTTTTTGTGCTGAATCTGAAGCCGAACTGGTGCCAAACAAACGTTCTTCCTCTCTGCGGTATTTATGCACACACATGCACACACATATACACACATGCATACACACATGCATACACACATGCACACACATGCACACCCACACATACACGTTTTTGTTACCTGGTGGGTCCCTTTGACAGGGCCGTTCAGAATGGGACCCATAGACATAATCTTTTTTTACCAAGACTAAGTAATACAAAACAGTCAATAGAAACCAAACAACTATTTTAAAGGAATTTTATTTTAGATTTTGTTTTCGAATTGCAGTGATTCTATTTTTGACATAGAATTTAATGCCACTCCATGTCCGATGTCTAAGGTCATCTGGTGAGGCATTAATGCAGGCCAGGCAGTGAGACTTCCCAGGGACCTTTCCAGTCTGTATGAAAGGTGTCATGGTCTTCTCCACAGCCTTCACCTCAGATGCAGACCATGGCTTTCTTACACGTTCTAGGGAGAGAAATAAAAATATATTAGCAATATACACTCCCAGGGTGAGGACCAAGCAGCCTGGCTGTAATCCCCCACCTGGTACACTTACCAGAAGGGGCACTGCCACTACCATGGGGTGCATCTGGATGAATGGTTGAAGGTTCTCCGCTTGAAGTTTCTTTTAGCCCGTCCGTTTGTGAGAGGATCTCTACTGCTCTCCCTGTCGCACAGAAAATAAAAATACAAGTGGCCTTTAGGGGAAAAAAATCATACATATTTTAATAATATCAAGAATTACCTTCAGGTCGAGGCTCTTTCCTTCGAATTCCGTCACTCTTCCCTGCTCCATGGCCATCAACACTTTGCTGATTTTGGCCAGCTCCAGTGTCCCCTCTGGTAGTCTGTAATATTGCCTGTGGATGCGAATGTCATGGCCGAGGAAGTTGGCAAGTATGTCCATCTCATTCTCTTTCATATTGAGAACTGTAGACATAGTAGCTATGTGCTTTCTAAGTTTGGTTGAGGATAGCATCTCTGGATGCACCGCACCACATTCTTTGGCTACCTGGCGTAGGGAGTCTGATCCCCTGATGTGGGTGTCTGCGCCCGGGCGGGAAAAGAAGTATGGGTTATGGTCAGAGATGGAACAGGCCCTTCTGTTCTCCACCAGCACCTCCATCGAAGCAATCATTTCAGGAGTCAAAAGAACCGGCACTTTCCGACTTCTTTTCCCTTTAATTTCAATGCGTTGAAAATGCTGACACAGCTTTTTCTCAAGTTGGGACAGTCCCAGAGCAATGTCAGAATGGATCCCAGTCTTACTTCTTAAGGTAAAGGCTGTCAGTGGCATCTTTGAAACCTCACCTTCCCTTCTTCGATTGAAAATGATGACCTCACAAAGAGTCAAAACTGCCAGTTTAGACCAATGCTTAGACGTTGGCTCACTTATTAGGGTTTGCACATATTCAGGTCGACATACCTCAATATGTGCATGCATGGCTCTAACGTCCTCAGTCAGAGGGAGCAGGTCCGGAGTGTTCCACTTGGCTTGCCGGAGGGTCTGTAGGGCAGCAGAAGAAACACAGACGTCCCACCTCTTCTCAAAAAGCAGCCGGCTTCGTTGGAGGTTTTTAATAAATAGTTCATCAACACAATGCTCCATTTTTGAGTCACATTCAAGAATATCTGCTAGCTTTCTGAGGCTATGGCCGAGTTTGAGGGCCAAGGATGGAGTCTTGTATTGATTTGTTTCCTCATCATATCCAGCCACAGACCTGACTGCATCAATCACATGGTTAAAGTTGGAAGGAATAAAGAAATCCTTAATTGTTTTCAGTTTCCCTGCGGTTTTTGCTTCGTTAATTAACCTACCGACTTCTCTCATTTTCTGCCTAATGTAATCATGCTTTGTCTTATCATGCCCGTGTTTTAAGTACAGGTGCTCTCCGAGTCTCAGAATCCCCTTTTCTGCTTTGACAACACCCGTGACCTCATCCTGATGCATTGCCGAAATTAAAGACCACAGCTTTTTGCTGATGCCCTCCGGTACAGGCTGGGCTAGGGAGCAGAGGGACTGGACCCTACTTCTACCTGGTTTAGCCTGGGCATCTTTCTGTGAAAGCCGGCACCTGGCCACATGCCTCCACAGCGACTTTCGCTTAAGCAATGCCCCACAGTCTATACAGTGCAAAAACTCACTGGATTTAACTGGGGAATTTGGCTGTTTAGCTGGGACTAAAGTTCCAATGCCGGCCTTTAAAACCTCAAAATTGTGCTCACGGTTTCCACTATTCCTGATCAAATCAAACTGAAGTTTACGTGCTTTAGATTTCACAGGTAGAGCCAATGCTCTGGCTACGTCACTTTCATTTCCATGTTTTCTAGTCAAATGACGGGACATTTTGTGGCAGGACATTGAACAGTAGAGGCAGAAGTGTCTCTTGCTGTATACTCGCCCCCCATTTTTCTTCTTTTGCAGCTGCATGATAACAATCTTATTTGCCTTTGGTTCGTCACTTTCCGAGTCTTGAAGAAAAGTGTTTTTGATTTTTCTTTTTCCATACTTTTTTACAGGTTTCTTCTTGACAGTTAAATCGTCAGAATCTGAGTCGACTTCATCAATTAGGGACTCTTGACTAAGCTGCACAAACAACAAATAATTTGTAATCATTCTATATAACAATTTGAAGTCATGACTTGTAGTCAGCACTTACCAGTGGTTTGTAAGCGTGCGCTTCAGTGTGCTCCTCCATGATTTCTTGCAGCCTAATGAACCACACACTTGCACCTTTTTCTAGCCTGACACCTGATTTCCTCTGTTGTGCTGCTCCATGATTGGCTCCAGCCTGCTGGACTGAAATTGCCCCAGTGTGCCCCTCCTTGATATCCCGCAACCCACCACCAGGGTTCCGACACATAACACACTTTTTTCAGGAAAGTAAACCTCCAGGGGTCCTTTCCATATTTTTACAGAGACTGCATAAGGACCGTTAGAAAAGCATTACCCATTGATTATTAAGCTTGGACCAGTGGGGTCCGGTGTTCGGGCCCCACCACGTAAAACCAGTCCCCATGACGTGAGTGGAATCTCAGGTTATGGAACCCACCAGGAGTTGAAAACAAGTGCACATATACACACATGCACACACATATACACACATGCATACACACATGCACACACATGCATACACACATATACACACATGCACACACATATACACACACGCACACACACACACATACACACACACATATACATACATGCACACACACGCCTAGCACACACCACACACTCTCGTACGCACACAGATACAAATCTGATATTGGGAGATTGCATAATAGGCCTATAATAAGTCATACTGAAGTGTTCTCTTGTTGGGAACAATAACGGCTCAGTCGGAAAACGTTGACTTTTTGTGTTTATTTAGATCCAAAATCCTAAACAGTGGAAAAATATGTAGAGTGCAGGAAAAACAGACTCACTGCCAGCACCGGCTTCTCCTCACTCTCCCAACTCACACACTCTATTTAAACCCTCCCCCAGCGAGAGAGCGACTCAGAGAGAGCGAGAGAGAGACTCTGAGAGAGCGAGAGAGCGACTCAGAGAGAGCGAGAGAGCGACTCAGAGAGAGCGAGAGAGCGAATCTGAGAGAGCGAATCTGAGAGAGCGAATCTGAGAGAGCGAATCTGAGAGAGCGAATCTGAGAGAGCGAATCTGAGAGAGCGAGAGAGCGACTCTGAGAGAGCGACTCTGAGAGAGCGACTCTGAGAGAGCGACTCTGAGAGAGCGACTCTGAGAGAGCGACTCTGAGAGAGCGACTCTGAGAGAGCGACTCTGAGAGAGCGACTCTGAGAGAGCGACTCTGAGAGAGCGACTCTGAGAGAGCGACTCAGAGAGAGCGAGAGAGCGACTCTGAGAGAGACACACGCAATACAATACATCTTATTCCTGTATAGTCCTGAATCAGCATAATCTCAGAGACTTAACAAAACCATTGAAATCACAGATTAGAGAATCAACAGTTAAGAACACCTGGTATTGGACCATATGGAGAGACCAGAGTCATGAACGTTGGTAAATGTCATCCATGTTGTAGAATGTTAAAGTGTCCTGGATCATCACAGTCCTTTTTTTTAGACACTAAATGTTGAACAGAATCCTGCATCAGAGGAAAAACTCTAAAAGCCAGGACTGAGGCTGTAGAGCCAGGACTGAGGCTGTAGAGCCAGGACTGAGGCTGTAGACCCAGGACTGAGGCTGTAGACCCAGGACTGAGGCTGTAGACCCAGGACTGAGGCTGTAGACCCAGGACTGAGGCTGTAGACCCAGGACTGAGGCTGTAGACCCAGGACTGAGGCTGTAGACCCAGGACTGAGGCTGTAGAGCCAGGACTGAGGCTGTAGACCCAGGACTGAGGCTGTAGACCCAGGACTGAGGCTGTAGACCCAGGACTGCGGCCGTGATCACTTCTGCATTACTTTGTCTCAGGCGTCCCTCCGACCAAAGCCAACTACATCGATGACCTGGTGGTGATGCTGCCTCAGACCGTGTGGGACCATCTCTACAGCAGGTACCACCCTTCCCCCGTCCACCTGGTATGGCCTCACATGGTTCCACAGTCACTCACCCCTGTCTCTGCCTCAGGTACGGAGGTGGCCCTGCCGTCAACCACCTGTACGTCTGCCACACCTGCCAGACCGAGATCGAGAAGTTGGAAAAAAGGAGGAAAAACGAGCTGGACATGTTTGTGCGAGTAAGGCCTGGATCTGTTCTCTTTCTGCTGAAGCACCTGCTGAAGCTCCTGCTGAAGCTCCTGCTGAAGCTTCTGCTGGAGCTCCTGCTGAAGCTCCTGCTGAAGCTCCTGCTGAGGCTCCTGCTGAGGCTCCTGCTGAAGCTCCTGCTGAAGCTTCTGCTGGAGCTCCTGCTGAAGCTCCTGCTGAAGCTCCTGCTGAGGCTCCTGCTGAGGCTCCTGCTGAAGCTCCTGCTGAAGCTCCTGCTGAAGCTCCTGCTGGAGCTCCAGCAGGAGCTTCTGCTAAAGCTCCTGCTGAGGCTCCTGCTGAGGCTCCTGCTGGAGCTCCTGCTGAGGCTCCTGCTGAAGCTCCTGCTGAGGCTCCTGCTGAGGCTCCTGCTGAAGCTCCTGCTGAAGCTCCTGGTTTCACCATATTTAAAAAAGAAACACAAAGCATTAGTTATTTGTGTCCGTTATGGCCCTTAACCCAACCTGGTCTTACCATGTGTAAACTCTGGTCCATGGTCATTTCCTACATGTACGTCTGGTCTTACCATGTGTAAACTCTGGTCCATGATCATTTCCTACATGTACGTCTGGTCTTACCATGTGTAAACTCTGGTCCATGATCATTTCCTACATGTACGTCTGGTCTTACCATGTGTAAACTCTGGTCCATGATCATTTCCTACATGTACGTCTGGTCTTACCATGTGTAAACTCTGGTCCATGGTCATTTCCTACATGTACGTCTGGTCTTACCATGTGTAAACTCTGGTCCATGGTCAGTTCCTACATGTACGTCTGGTCTTAACATGTGTAAACTCTGGTCCATGGTCATTTCCTACATGTACCTCTGGTCTTACCATGTGTAAACTCTGGTCCATGATCATCTCCTACATGTACGTCTGGTCTTACCATGTGTAAACTCTGGTCCATGATCATCTCCTACATGTACGTCTGGCTCTGATCCTAGTGGCTGCAGTTTCCTTGGTTGAATCTCCTCCGACCAATCAGAGAGCGGGGGAGGCGGGTGTTGGTGACGTCAAGAGTTTGTGAAAGAGTAAAATAATCTGTTCTGGTTCAATCCAAATATCAAGAAACTGAAGCTGGAGAAAGAGGAATGTTTAGTAAATGTCAGTGAAGCAAAGATGTAGTGGCTCTACTCTCCACGGGCTCCGTTAGCGGCAAAGGAGATGGCTAAAGCTAGGCTAAGTGCTAAAGCTAGGCTAAATGCTAAAGCTAGGCTCAATACATTACATACAGTACGTCACAGTAAACTCAGATCCAATGGTTTCAATCTGCAAAAGGAGGTAGCCCCTCCCACCTGTTCACGGAGTTAATGGAGCAAACCCAGACCTTTAGTACAAATGAAATGAGTACCATGGTGTGGTAAGACCAGAGTAGGTTTCCCATTATTTAACAAAGAAACATTTGTGTCCGTGATGCCCTTTACCGAATCAAATTTGATATAATTCAGCATTAGGGCTGGGAGATGTGGCCCAAAGATTACGTTCAATTTCAATACCATTTCAGTAAATTCTTGTATCGCCCTAAAACTGCAGTTATCTACGATCTGTGTACAGAGGACTTTCCACAGTTGTCTATTCACCAACACAGATTAGAGAAGAAATGCAATGATGGAAAACACAAAGAGCCATTGGTCCTTTAGGGGCAGACGACCAATGTCCATAAATGTTTTTAAATACCACAATATGAGATGATAATTTCACAATAACTGTATAAATCTATTTAATGTAGTTTGCTCCTTGAAGAAAAGTCAATGTTGAGTTTGTGACTTCCTGTTCCGTCTGACTGACGCCAGAAATACATGAATCCTCCATAATGTTTTAATACAAGATGCTTTAATGGTCCCACAGTGGGGAAATGTCAGTGTTGCATTACCGGTTACAGCACAGGAGGAATGAGGAGCACCAGATAAATGAACAATTACTAATATATACCAAAATCAAATCAAATCTATAACTTAACGATAATGAATAAATATATTTTTCACATATCTAGCCCTCAGACTTAACTCTGATCTAAAGTCAAAGCCGTGTCTCTCGCTTTAAACATGAAACAGTCTCTGTGCGACTCTCCTGCTGCTGAAACATATTGAGCTCTTCTAATCAATTCTCCTCAGTGGTTATTCTAATGAGTCTTTTCATCTCCTGTGCTCTCAATCCTTTCATCCTCTCTCAATAACACTTCTTCTTCTTCTGTGTCTGCAGCTCAACAAGGCCTTCCAGGAGGAGGAGTCCCCGGTGGTCATTCACTGCATCAGCATGCACTGGTTCAGGGACTGGGAGGGGTTCGTGAAAGGGAAGGACAACGGTAAGGGACGGGCCGAGACTCCGCCCCCTTTCCCCTCTTCGTACCAGACTCCGCCCCTTTTCACCTCTTCATACCAGACTCCGCCCCCTTTCATAGCTTTGTACCAAACATACCAGACTCCGCCCCCTTTCACATCTTTGGTACAAAGTTATGAAAGGGGGCGGAGTCTGGTACAAACACACCAGACTCCGCCCCCTTTGACATCTTCATACCAGACTCCGCCCCCTTTCATAGCTTTGTACCAAACACACCAGACTCCGCCCCCTTTCACCTCTTCATACCAATCATACCAGACTCCGCCCCCTTTCACCTCTTCATACCAATCATACCAGACTCCGCCCCCTTTTACAGCTTCATACCAAACATATCTGACCATTAGCAACATCTATTGTAAAAGACGGGGAGAGACTGAGCAAGCGAGAGAATAAGCCAGAGACAGAGACAGAGACTGAGCGAAAGAGAGAGAGACTGAGCGAGAGAGAGAGAGACTGAGCGAAAGAGAGAGAGACTGAGCGAGAGAGAGAGAGACTGAGCGAGAGAGAGAGAGACTGAGCGAGAGAGAGAGACTGAGCGAGAGAGAGAGATACTGAGCGAGAGAGAGAGAGACTGAGCGAGAGAGAGAGAGACTGAGCGAGAAAGAGAGAGACTGAGCGAGAAAGAGAGAGACTGAGCGAGAGAGAGAGAGAGCTGAGCGAGAGAGAGAGAGACTGAGCGAGAGAGAGAGAGACTGAGCGAGAGAGAGACTGAGCGAGAGAGAGACTGAGACGATAGAGAGACTGAGCGAGAGAGAGAGACTGAGCGAGAGAGAGAGAGACTGAGCGAGAGAGAGAGACTGAGCGAAAGAGAGAGAGACTGAGCGAGAGAGAGAGAGACTGAGCGAGAGAGAGAGAGACTGAGCGAGAGAGAGAGATACTGAGCGAGAGAGAGAGAGACTGAGCGAGAGAGAGAGAGACTGAGCGAGAAAGAGAGAGACTGAGCGAGAAAGAGAGAGACTGAGCGAGAGAGAGAGAGACTGAGCGAGAGAGAGACTGAGCGAGAGAGAGACTGAGCGAGAGAGAGACTGAGCGATAGAGAGACTGAGCGAGAGAGAGAGACTGAGCGAGAGAGAGAGAGACTGAGCGAGAGAGAGAGACTGAGCGAGAGAGACTGAGCGAGAGAGAGACTGAGCGATAGAGAGACTGAGCGATAGAGAGACTGAGCGATAGAGAGACTGAGCGATAGAGAGACTGAGCGATAGAGAGACTGAGCGAGAGAGAGAGACTGAGCGAGAGAGAGAGAGACTGAGCGAGAGAGACTGAGCGAGAGAGAGAGAGAGACTGAGCGAGAGAGAGAGAGACTGAGCGAGAGAGAGAGAGACTGAGCGAGAGAGAGAGAGACTGAGCGAGAGAGAGAGAGAGAGCGAGAGAGAGACTGAGCGAGAGAGACTGAGCGAGAGAGAGAGACTGAGCGAGAGAGAGAGACTGAGCGAGAGAGAGAGACTGAGCGAGAGAGACTGAGCGAGAGAGAGAGAGACTGAGCGAGAGAGAGAGAGACTGAGCGAGAGAGAGAGAGAGAGAGCGAGAGAGACTGAGCGAGAGAGAGAGAGACTGAGCGAGGAGAGAGAGAGACGAGAGAGAGACTGAGCGAGAGAGAGACTGAGCGAGAGAGAGAGAGACTGAGCGAGAGAGAGAGACTGAGCGAGAGAGAGAGACTGAGCGAGAGAGAGAGACTGAGCGAGAGAGAGAGAGACTGAGCGAGCGAGAGAGACTGAGCGAGCGAGAGACTGAGCGAGCGAGAGAGACTGAGCGAGCGAGAGAGACAGACTGAGCGAGCGAGAGAGACTGAGCGAGAGAGAGAGACTGAGCGAGAGAGAGAGAGACTGAGCGAGCGAGAGAGACTGAGCGAGAGAGAGAGACAGACTGAGCGAGCGAGAGAGACTGAGCGAGAGAGAGAGACAGACTGAGCGAGCGAGACAGACTGAGCGAGCGAGAGAGACTGAGCGAGCGAGAGAGACTGAGCGAGCGAGAGAGACTGAGCGAGCGAGAGAGACTGAGCGAGAGAGACTGAGCGAGAGAGAGAGACAGACTGAGCGAGAGAGAGAGACTGAGCGAGAGAGAGAGACAGACTGAGCGAGAGAGAGAGACTGAGCGAGAGAGACTGAGCGAGAGAGACTGAGCGAGAGAGACTGAGCGAGAGAGACTGAGCGAGCGAGAGAGACTGAGCGAGCGAGAGAGAGACTGAGCGAGCGAGAGAGAGACTGAGCGAGCGAGAGAGAGACTGAGCGAGAGAGAGAGACTGAGCGAGAGAGAGAGACTGAGCGAGAGAGAGAGAGACTGAGCGAGAGAGAGAGAGACTGAGCGAGAGAGACAGACTGAGCGAGAGAGACTGAGCGAGAGAGAGAGACAGACTGAGCGAGAGAGAGAGACAGACTGAGCGAGAGAGAGAGACAGACTGAGCGAGCGAGAGAGACTGAGCGAGCGAGAGAGACAGACTGAGCGAGCGAGAGACTGAGCGAGCGAGAGAGACTGAGCGAGAGAGAGAGACTGAGCGAGAGAGAGAGACTGAGCGAGAGAGAGAGAGTGAGCGAGAGAGAGAGACTGAGCGAGAGAGAGAGACTGAGCGAGCGAGAGAGACTGAGCGAGAGAGAGAGACAGACTGAGCGAGCGAGAGAGACTGAGCGAGAGAGAGAGACAGACTGAGCGAGCGAGAGAGACTGAGCGAGAGAGAGAGACAGACTGAGCGAGCGAGACAGACTGAGCGAGCGAGAGAGACTGAGCGAGAGAGAGAGACAGACTGAGCGAGCGAGAGAGACTGAGCGAGCGAGAGAGACTGAGCGAGAGAGAGAGACTGAGCGAGAGAGACTGAGCGAGCGAGAGAGAGAGCGAGCGAGAGAGACTGAGCGAGCGAGAGAGACTGAGCGAGCGAGAGAGACTGAGCGAGAGAGACTGAGCGAGAGAGAGAGAGACTGAGCGAGCGAGAGAGAGACTGAGCGAGCGAGAGAGAGACTGAGCGAGCGAGAGAGAGACTGAGCGAGCGAGAGAGAGACTGAGCGAGCGAGAGAGAGACTGAGCGAGAGAGAGACTGAGCGAGAGAGAGAGAGACTGAGCGAGAGAGAGACAGACTGAGCGAGCGAGAGAGACAGTGAGACAAAAATATTTTTGATTTTAAATATTTTCACCCAATGGAGTCTTGAATGCACAAGAATAAAAACAGACTTGGTACGAACACCCGTGGAACCGGCTCAGAGCAGATTCTGTGGATCGTCTTCAAAGCCTCCGTGAAAGCCCTGGAGTCGTGTTTCCCTCCCGCCCTGCTCGCTTTGTATTGTCCGCTCTATTTTTATCCCTTCTCATCTCCTGAAGCGCGGTTGGTTGGACGCAGCAGCAGGTGGAGCAGAAGCTTTGGTTCAGGCTCTGACTGACACTCTCCCAAACTGAAGTCTGACTCTGGCTTTTCATGTTTTTCTAGATCCACCAGGACCGATTGACAACTCAAAGATCACAGCCAACAAGAACGGGCATCTAACTCTAAGACAAGGTACAGAACCCAGGACTGAGGCTGAAGACCCAGGACTGAGGCTGTAGACCCAGGACTGAGGCTGTAGACCCAGGACTGAGGCTGTAGACCCAGGACTGAGGCTGTAGACCCAGGACTGAGGCTGTACACCCAGGACTGAGGCTGTAGACCCAGGACTGAGGCTGTAGACCCAGGACTGAGGCTGTAGACCCAGGACTGAGGCTGTAGACCCAAGACTGAGGCTGTAGACCCAGGACTGAGGCTGTAGACCCAGGACTGAGGCTTCAGACCCAGGACTGAGGCTGTAGACCCAGGACTGAGGCTGTAGACCCAGGACTGAGGCTGAAGACCCAGGACTGAGGCTGTAGACCCAGGACTGAGGCTGAAGACCCAGGACTGAGGCTGAAGACCCAGGACTGAGGCTGTAGACCCAGGACTGAGGCTGTAGACCCAGGACTGAGGCTGTAGACCCAGGACTGAGGCTGTAGACCCAGGACTGAGGCTGTAGACCCAGGACTGAGGCTGTAGACCCAGGACTGAGGCTGTAGACCCAGGACTGAGGCTGTAGACCCAGGACTGAGGCTGTAGACCCAGGACTGAGGCTGTAGACCCAGGACTGAGGCTGTAGACCCAGGACTGAGGCTGTAGACCCAGGACTGAGGCTGTAGACCCAGGACTGAGGCTGTAGACCCAGGACTGAGGCTGTAGACCCAGGACTGAGGCTGTAGACCCAGGAGAACTGAGGCCGTAGACCCAGGACTAACATCTGATCTTTCCGCAGGAGCCGACTCGGGGCAGATCTCTGAAGAAACCTGGAACTTCCTTCACTCGGTTTACGGCGGGGGTCCCCTGGTCACGGTGAGACCGAGTGGGACCCAGCCGGACCCTGAGAGCTTGTCCGAGGAGAAGATCGAGGTTGAGACCCGGTCGCTCTGAGTCCCACGAACTCTGCAGCGGAAATCACACAAAAAACGCCTTGATTACTTTGCACTTTTTTATTATTTGTTATTCCCGACGGACCTGGTGTTCTCTCGCTTCACCACCGCCTTTTCCACACAAACATCTACGGGAGAAACGCTCCTCGAATCGCCGTAGCAACGAGGTTTTCATGTTTTCATGTTTTCGACCCGAGCATTTCTCGCGGTGCAGCTATGAGTTCCACTGAATGCCATATCCTTGTTTTTGTTCTGTTTTATTCACGTTTTGTTTGTTTATTTTTCCTTGGACCAAAACGTCTGAAGTTTGCGAGTCTCTGAAGTGGATCTGCAGCGTTCACAGGTCTTCGTTTCAAACTGAGTCTGAGCTGTTTCACAAATGCACCTTTTTAATTGGTTTGTGGCTAAATATCTTTGTGATTAGATTCTATCGACATGAAGGCGAACCTGGAGCAAGAGCCCTGTTTCCACCAGCCCTACCCTACCCTACTCTGCCCTGCGCTACCCTACTCTACTCTACTCTACCCTACTCTACGCTACCCTACTCTACTCTGCTCTACCCTACTCTACCCTACTCTGCTCTACCCTACCCTACTCTACGCTACTCTAACCTACTCTACTCTACCCTACTCTACTCTACCCTACCCTACTCTACTCTACTCAACCCTACTCTACTCTACGCTACCCTACTCTACTCTACTGTACTCTACCCTACGCTGCCCTACTCTACGCTACTCTACTCTACTCTACGCTTCTCTACCCTACCCTACTCTACCCTACCCTACCCTACCCTACTCTACTCTACCCTACTCTACTCTACTTTACTCTACTCTACTCTACTCTACCCTACTCTACCCTACTCTACTCTACTCTACCCTACTCTGCCCTACTCTGCCCTACTCTACTCTACTCTACCCTACGCTACTCTACTCTACTCTACCCTACTCTACCCTACCCTACCCTACTCTACTCTACCCTACTCTACTCTACCCTACTCTACTCTACCCTACTCTACTCTACTCTACCCTACTCTACTCTACCCTACGCTGCCCTACTCTGCCCTATTCTACCCTACCCTACTCTACTCTACTCTACTCTACTCTACCCTACTCTGCCCTACTCTACTCTACTCTACTCTACTCTACTCTACTCTACTCTACTCTTTTGCGTTTCCATTACGCTCTTGTATCTTACTAGACTGGGGCCTAGACCTGGTGGAAACGTTGGGCTAAAGTTCCTTCTCCGTCGGCACAAATCCACAAAAATCTCGACAGATTTCTCAGATGCAGTTTCCGGGACTCGACCCAAATGTAATGAACTAAAACTGTGCTAAATCTCGTGGTCCGATGTGAACGCTTTTACTGTTGTTGTTGCTGTAAATAACACTCGCTGAAGGTTAATGAAGGGACCGAGTCTCAGGAATGATTCTGTCTGTTTTTGCACTGATCTGTAGAAGACTTTAATGTTTTATTCACACAAACGTCCAGTATGTTTTTAAAAGCAGTGATTCTCAACCTGTGCGTTTGTCGTGTGTGGTCGGAGAGGCTTTTTAAATCTGACAAATCTGGACCAAATGAGGCCAAAATGTTTCTTTACTGCTGTGGTTCACAAAGTGGGGAGCACGAGACACCAACACTGGTTTTAAATGGAATTCCAAACATTTTTCACAGTTGTTCACTAAATATTTAGCTCAAAACACAATAATTTATGTGGAATTAGGTTTGATTCAGCAGGAGGTGGAGAGCTGATTTTACTGCTCTTGTCTCAGACTGAACTCAGACCAGTTTTATAATTATTACCACAAAGTCTGAAGCGACTTAACAAAAACTTCTTCTTTCACTGCAGAAATTATGAAACATAATATTATAAATGTTTCAAAAGAGTGGTTTTTATTTTGAGACAAAGACATTTTCAGGCTGTAGACCCAGGGCCGAGGCTGTAGACCCCAGGACCGAGGCTGTAGACCCAGGGCCGAGGCTGTAGACCCCAGGGCCGAGGCTGTAGACCCCAGGGCCGAGGCTGTAGACCCCATTACCGAGGCTGTAGACCCCAGGACAGGACCGAGGCTTTAGACCCCAGGGCCGAGGCTTTAGACCCCAGGGCCTAGGCTGTAGACCCCAGGACAGGACTGAGGCTGTAGACCCCAGGACAGGACTGAGGCTGTAGACCCCAGGACAGGACTGAGGCTGTAGACCCCAGGACAGGACTGAGGCTGTAGACCCCAGGACAGGACCGAGGCTGTAGACCCCAGGACAGGACCGAGGCTTTAGACCCCAGGGCCAAGGCTGTAGACCCCAGGGCCGAGGCTGTAGACCCCATTACCGAGGCTGTAGACCCCAGGACAGGACCGAGGCTTTAGACCCCAGGGCCGAGGCTTTAGACCCCAGGGCCGAGGCTGTAGACCCCAGGGCCGAGGCTGTAGACCCCAGGACAGGACTGAGGCTGTAGACCCCAGGACAGGACCGAGGCTGTAGACCCCAGGACAGGACTGAGGCTGTAGACCCCAGGACAGGACCGAGGCTGTAGACCCCAGGACAGGACCGAGGCTTTAGACCCCAGGGCCAAGGCTGTAGACCCCAGGGCCGAGGCTGTAGATCCCATTACCGAGGCTGTAGACCCCAGGACAGGACCGAGGCTTTAGACCCCAGGACCGAGGCTTTAGACCCCAGGGCCGAGGCTTTAGACCCCAGGGCCTAGGCTGTAGACCCCAGGACAGGACTGAGGCTGTAGACCCCAGGACAGGACTGAGGCTGTAGACCCCAGGACAGGACCGAGGCTGTAGACCCCAGGACAGGACTGAGGCTGTAGACCCCAGGACAGGACCGAGGCTGTAGACCCCAGGACAGGACCGAGGCTTTAGACCCCAGGGCCAAGGCTGTAGACCCCAGGGCCGAGGCTGTAGACCCCATTACCGAGGCTGTAGACCCCAGGACAGGACCGAGGCTTTAGACCCCAGGGCCGAGGCTTTAGACCCCAGGGCCGAGGCTGTAGACCCCAGGGCCGAGGCTGTAGACCCCAGGACAGGACTGAGGCTGTAGACCCCAGGACAGGACCGAGGCTGTAGACCCCAGGACAGGACTGAGGCTGTAGACCCCAGGACAGGACCGAGGCTGTAGACCCCAGGACAGGACCGAGGCTTTAGACCCCAGGGCCAAGGCTGTAGACCCCAGGGCCGAGGCTGTAGATCCCATTACCGAGGCTGTAGACCCCAGGACAGGACCGAGGCTTTAGACCCCAGGGCCGAGGCTTTAGACCCCAGGGCCGAGGCTGTAGACCCCAGGACAGGACTGAGGCTGTAGACCCCAGGACAGGACCGAGGCTGTAGACCCCAGGACAGGACCGAGGCTGTAGACCCCAGGACAGGACTGAGGCTGTAGACCCCAGGACAGGACCGAGGCTGTAGACCCTAGGACAGGACCGAGGCTGTAGACCCCAGGACCGAGGCTGTAGACCCCAGGACCGAGGCTGTAGACCCCAGGACAAAACCAAACCAAACTACAATAATTAAATAAAAACGTCCCCTTCTGCATTCGGTCCACACTAAGACCAGCTATTTTTCTCCTATCGGTATCACACACTAGGTCCAAACCGAGTCCTACACCAGGTCTAAACCAGTTCCAAATTCGCTCCAAACTTGCGGCACGAGACTGGGATCGCCGTCCACAGATCCGTTGAACCACAGCTTGAGAATCGCTGCGTCAGAGCGACCCATCACTGATCGTGTGTTGGGCAGTAGATGGACGTGTGGAGAACGCATGAATATCACCGCCATCATTTAACCGCATGCAGCTGTCGATCTCTGGATCATAGTCACCTGTATCGTTCCACACTCTGGAGATCTCACTCTGATCCTCGAGACGCGATCAATAAAAGGCATTATTTTGTATTTTAATTCCAGGGCATGTTGCTTTAAGAGCGGGCCACGAACCGGAGCCAGAGTCAGACGTAGGTTCTGTTCTTTGCTGATTTTTTCGCTGGCACTAATAAAACTTGAGAAATCCATGCTGAAAATGGTGGTGGTTGTGGTTTTTGCCTGAACTGAGGTTATTGGTTTAAATCTCCGCTCAAAAACAACAATTATGCATTTATACAACACATTTCATACACTTTTAAGCCTAAACTTTAGATCTTATTTTGTCGATGTGGTTCTCTGTGCGGCTCAATTAGACAATTTTTAACCTGGACTTAACGTTGTCAGGGCTGGGGTTTGTCTCACGAACACAAAAATGATAAAATATGATGTAATATTTTCTTGAATTGAGTCGTTTTTATATAAATCCGAGCACATTCTGTCTGTGTTAAAACCAGATTTTCCAACTGGACAAAGATATTTGGTCTTATTTAAAAAGCTATTGCTGTAACTTTTGAAAATAATATCATTTTGCTTTGTCCCACTGGGAAATGTTGTTTTAAGGCTCGTTTTACCAAATTTAACCAGACACAATTTATCCACATTTTTCAATGCAGAGAAATTGTTCCAGATTTCCGCCTCATAAATCTTAAACACTGCCTCCTCCTAGGCTCCTGTGCTCCTCATGGTCCCAGCAGGAGGCCAGTCCCTGTGCTCCTCATGGTCCCAGCAGGAGGCCAGTCCCTGTGCTCCTCATGGTCCCAGCAGGAGGCCCGTCCCTGTGCTCCTCATGGTCCCAGCAGGAGGCCCGTCCCTGTGCTCCTCATGGTCCCAGCAGGAGGCCAGTCCCTGTGCTCCTCATGGTCCCAGCAGGAGGCCAGTCCCTGTGCTCCTCAGTTTCTTCTCTTCTTGCCTTGTTAAACATAATATCAACATCTCACTGTATTTGTGCTGACTGAATAATTGACGATTCTGAAGTGCTCTCAGAAGCCTTTTATTCCAGTTTACTTATTTTATTGGCCATAAAAAAGAGTGTGGGCTTTTCATTTCAATTTGCGATGTCAAAATGTGTGAAGGCAAATAAAATAGTTCAGCTTCCTGGCTTTAATGTGTGGCACAACCGCAGCTCTGGATGTTTATGGGATGCACTTTTCTGCTGCGATGATGGTCCTGGATGTTTGAGGACGAGGCAGAGAAACACTGGAGCTGATCTGAGGCTTCGTTCATGCTTCTCAAACTTTTAATAAGATTGTTCGTCTTAACATTTGTCTATTATCAAATAGTGTTTATGAAGTGTTATTAGTCAGACGACATCATGTGGAAGATATTTATACGTCACATTTGGAATAAATAGAATCAGGGTGAAAAAAAAGACAAATGTGCAAAAAGGTGTTCTCCAGGAACATCATGAAGCTTTGTCCTGGTTTCTCTCCTCTCTCTGGTCTCTCTGCTCTCTCTGGTCTCTCTCTGGTCTCTCTCTGGTCTCTCTGGTCTCTCTCTGGTCTCTCTCCTCTCTCTGGTCTCTCTCTGGTCTCTCTCCTCTCTCTGGTCTCTCTGCTCTCTCTCTGGTCTCTCTCTGGTCTCTCTCCTCTCTCTGGTCTCTCTGCTCTCTCTCTGGTCTCTCTCTGGTCTCTCTCTGGTCTCTCTCCTCTCTCTGCTCTCTCTGGTCTCTCACTGGTCCCTCTGGTCTCTCTCTGGTCTCTCTCTGGTTTCTCTCTGGTTTCTCTCTGGTTTCTCTCTGGTTTCTCTCTGGTTTCTCTGGTCTCTCTCTCTGGTCTCTCTCTGGTCTCTCTCTGGTCTCTCTCTGGTCTCTCTCTGGTCTCTCTCTCTGGTCTCTCTGGTCTCTCTCTGGTCTCTCTCTGGCCTCTCTCTGGTCTCTCTCTGGTCTCTCTCTGGTCTCTCTCTGGTCTCTCTCTGGTCTCTCTCTCTGGCCTCTCTCTGGTCTCTCTCTCTGGTCTCTCTGGTCTCTCTCTGGTCTCTCTCTGGCCTCTCTCTGGTCTCTCTGGTCTCTCTCTGGTCTCTCTCTGGCCTCTCTCTGGTCTCTCTCTGGTCTCTCTCTGGTCTCTCTCTGGTTTCTCTCTGGTTTCTCTCGCTGGTCTTAATTAGGGGTGGGAACCTAAGGGCACCTCACGATACGATTCACGATAACAATTGTATCACGATATGACGATTATCGATATATTGGTCAGAAATATGCCATATATGGCATAAATAAAGTAGAAAAATGTTCAGTGAAAAAATGCACTTTATTTCATGATAAATGGAATGGAGATGTGTAATGTAGCCATATATTAAGTATTGATACTAATTTAAAAAAAAATAATTCAAAATCGATACTTGGCAAATGCATATCTATAATCGATCGCGGGAGAAAGTATCGCGATAATATCGAAAAGTTGATATATCGTCACACTCCTAGTCTTAATACATCTAGATACTTAGACGATATAAGAGCCTCCTGGTCTCCTCCCTGGGGAGGTGTTCTGGACATGTCCCGAGGGGAGGAGACCAGGATGACAGGTGCTGGGATTATTCTGTCTGCTATGGTTTTAGAGTAAACCAGTGGTTCCCAAAGTCTGGAGCCTTGAGGCAGGAAGTAAATAGAAAATACACATTTTTGGTGTAACAAAAGTCAGAGTCCCAGCAGGAGGCCCGTCCCTGTGCTCCTCAGAGTCCCAGCAGGAGGCCCGTCCCTGTGCTCCTCAGAGTCCCAGCAGGAGGCCCGTCCCTCAGAGTCCCAGCAGGAGGCCCGTCCCTGTGCTCCTCAGAGTCCCAGCAGGAGGCCAGTCCCTGTGCTCCTCAGAGTCCCAGCAGGAGGCCAGTCCCTGTGCTCCTCAGAGTCCCAGCAGGAGGCCCGTCCCTGTGCTCCTCAGAGTCCCAGCAGGAGGCCGGTCCCTGTGCTCCTCAGAGTCCCAGCAGGAGGCCGGTCCCTGTGCTCCTCAGAGTCCCAGCAGGAGGCCGGTCCCTGTGCTCCTCAGAGTCCCAGCAGGAGGCCCGTCCCTGTGCTCCTCAGAGTCCCAGCAGGAGTCCAGTCCCTGTGCTCCTCAGAGTCCCAGCAGGAGGCCAGTCCCTGTGCTCCTCAGAGTCCCAGCAGGAGGCCCGTCCCTGTGCTCCTCAGAGTCCCAGCAGGAGGCCCGTCCCTGTGCTCCTCAGAGTCCCAGCAGGAGTCCAGTCCCTGTGCTCCTCAGAGTCCCAGCAGGAGGCCAGTCCCTGTGCTCCTCAGAGTCCCAGCAGGAGGCCCGTCCCTGTGCTCCTCAGAGTCCCAGCAGGAGGCCCGTCCCTGTGCTCCTCAGAGTCCCAGCAGGAGGCCAGTCCCTGTGCTCCTCAGAGTCCCAGCAGGAGTCCAGTCCCTGTGCTCCTCAGAGTCCCAGCAGGAGGCCCGTCCCTGTGCTCCTCAGAGATGGTTTATATGGCTCTCACATGTCACAGATGTACTTTGGTTTGAGGCCATGGTGAGACTCGAACACAAACCAGAGCAGAGACCTGAGAACTGGACTAACTGTCTCCAGTCGTTGTGTCCCTGAGCAAGACACTTCACCCTTCTTGCCTTAGTAAATATAATAGTAACATCTCACTACCTATTTGTGTGGACTGAATGAATAATTGACTATTCTAAAGTGCTCTCAGAAGTCTTTTTTATTCCAGTTTACTCATTGTATTGGCCATAATTAGAGTGAAGGCTTATGCTTTCAATTTGCTCTGTCAAAATACATGATGTCATTATGGGATGTGTTGCCTGATGTGCTTTCCCTGATGCTTTCCCTGATGCTCTCCCTGATGCTTTCCCTGATGCTCTCCCTGATGCTTTCCCTGATGCTTTCCCTGATGCTTTCCCTGATGCTCTCCCTGATGCTCTCCCTGATGCTTTCCCTGATGCTTTCCCTGATGCTTTCCCTGATGCTTTCCCTGATGCTTTCCCTGATGCTCTCCCTGATGCTTTCCCTGATGCTTTCCCTGATGCTTTCCCTGATGCTTTCCCTGATGCTCTCCCTGATGCTTTCCCTGATGCTTTCCCTGATGCTTTCCCTGATGCTCTCCCTGATGCTTTCCCTGATGCTCTCCCTGATGCTTTCCCTGATGCTCTCCCTGATGCTTTCCCTGATGCTCTCCCTGATGCTTTCCCTGATGCTTTCCCTGATGCTTTCCCTGATGCTTTCCCTGATGCTTTCCCTGATGCTCTCCCTGATGCTTTCCCTGATGCTTTCCCTGATGCTTTCCCTGATGCTTTCCCTGATGCTTTCCCTGATGCTCTCCCTGATGCTCTCCCTGATGCTTTCCCTGATTCCTGCTTTCCCTGATGCTTTCCCTGATGCTTTCCCTGATGCTTTCCCTGATGCTTTCCCTGATGCTTTCCCTGATGCTTTCCCTGATGCTTTCCCTGATGCTTTCCCTGATGCTTTCCCTGATGCTTTCCCTGATGCTTTCCCTGATGCTTTCCCTGATGCTTTCCCTGATGCTTCCCTGATGCTTTCCCTGATGCTTTCCCTGATGCTTTCCCTGATGCTTTCCCTGATGCTTTCCCTGATGCTTTCCCTGATGCTTTCCCTGATGCTTTCCCTGATGCTTTCCCTGATGCTTTCCCTGATGCTTTCCCTGATGCTTTCCCTGATGCTCTCCCTGATGCTTTCCCTGATGCTTCCCTGATGCTTCCCTGATGCTTCCCTGATGCTTTCCCTGATGCTTTCCCTGATGCTTTCCCTGATGCTTTCCCTGATGCTTTCCCTGATGCTTTCCCTGATGCTTTCCCTGATGCTTTCCCTGATGCTTTCCCTGATGCTTTCCCTGATGCTTTCCCTGATGCTTCCCTGATGCTTTCCCTGATGCTTTCCCTGATGCTTTCCCTGATGCTTTCCCTGATGCTCTCCCTGATGCTTCCCTGATGCTTTCCCTGATGCTTTCCCTGATGCTTTCCCTGATGCTTCCCTGATGCTTTCCCTGATGCTTTCCCTGATGCTTTCCCTGATGCTTTCCCTGATGCTGCCCTGATGCTTTCCCTGATGCTTTCCCTGATGCTCTCCTGATGCCCTGATGCTTTCCCTGATGCTTTCCCTGATGCTTTCCCTGATGCTTTCCCTGATGCTCTCCCTGATGCTTTCCCTGATGCTTTCCCTGATGCTCTCCCTGATGCTTTCCCTGATGCTTTCCCTGATGCTTTGATGCTTCCCTGATGCTTTCCCTGATGCTCTCCCTGATGCTCTCCCTGATGCTTTCCCTGATGCTTTCCCTGATGCTTTCCCTGATGCTTTCCCTGATGCTTTCCCTGATGCTTTCCCTGATGCTTTCCCTGATGCTTCCCTGATGCTTTCCCTGATGCTTTCCCTGATGCTCTCCCTGATGCTTTCCCTGATGCTTTCCCTGATGCTTTCCCTGATGCTTTCCCTGATGCTTTCCCTGATGCTTCCCTGATGCTTTCCCTGATGCTTTCCCTGATGCTTTCCCTGATGCTTTCCCTGATGCTTTCCCTGATGCTTTCCCTGATGCTTTCCCTGATGCTTTCCCTGATGCTTTCCCTGATGCTCTCCCTGATGCTTTCCCTGATGCTCTCCCTGATGCTTTCCCTGATGCTCTCCCTGATGCTTTCCCTGATGCTTTCCCTGATGCTTCCCTGATGCTCCCCTGATGCTTTCCCTGATGCTTTCCCTGATGCTTTCCCTGATGCTTTCCCTGATGCTCTCCCTGATGCTTTCCCTGATGCTCTCCCTGATGCTCTCCCTGATGCTTTCCCTGATGCTTTCCCTGATGCTTTCCCTGATGCTTCCCTGATGCTTTCCCTGATGCTTTCCCTGATGCCCTGATGCTTCCCTGATGCTTTCCCTGATGCTTTCCCTGATGCTTTCCCTGATGCTTTCCCTGATGCTTTCCCTGATGCTTTCCCTGATGCTCTCCCTGATGCTTTCCCTGATGCTCTCCCTGATGCTTTCCCTGATGCTTTCCCTGATGCTTTCCCTGATGCTCTCCCTGATGCTTTCCCTGATGCTTCCCTGATGCTTTCCCTGATGCTCTCCCTGATGCTTTCCCTGATGCTTTCCCTGATGCTTCCCTGATGCTTTCCCTGATGCTTTCCCTGATGCTTTCCCTGATGCTTCCCTGATGCTTTCCCTGATGCTTCCCTGATGCTTTCCCTGATGCTTTCCCTGATGCTCTCCCTGATGCTTCCCTGATGCTTTCCCTGATGCTCCCCTGATGCTTTCCCTGATGCTTTCCCTGATGCTTTCCCTGATGCTCTCCCTGATGCTTTCCCTGATGCTTTCCCTGATGCTTTCCCTGATGCTTTCCCTGATGCTTTCCCTGATGCTTCCCTGATGCTTTCCCTGATGCTTTCCCTGATGCTTTCCCTGATGCTTTCCCTGATGCTTCCCTGATGCTTTCCCTGATGCTTTCCCTGATGCTTTCCCTGATGCTTTCCCTGATGCTCTCCCTGATGCTTTCCCTGATGCTCTCCCTGATGCTTTCCCTGATGCTCTCCCTGATGCTTTCCCTGATGCTTTCCCTGATGCTTTCCCTGATGCTTTCCCTGATGCTTTCCCTGATGCTCTCCCTGATGCTCTCCCTGATGCTCTCCCTGATGCTTTCCCTGATGCTTTCCCTGATGCTTTCCCTGATGCTTTCCCTGATGCTTTCCCTGATGCTTTCCCTGATGCTTTCCCTGATGCTTTCCCTGATGCTCTCCCTGATGCTCTCCCTGATGCTTTCCCTGATGCTTTCCCTGATGCTTTCCCTGATGCTTTCCCTGATGCTTTCCCTGATGCTCTCCCTGATGCTTTCCCTGATGCTCTCCCTGATGCTCTCCCTGATGCTCTCCCTGATGCTTTCCCTGATGCTTTCCCTGATGCTTTCCCTGATGCTTTCCCTGATGCTCTCCCTGATGCTTTCCCTGATGCTCTCCCTGATGCTCTCCCTGATGCTTCCTGATGCTTTCCCTGATGCTTTCCCTGATGCTTCCCTGATGCTTTCCCTGATGCTTTCCCTGATGCTCTCCCTGATGCTTTCCCTGATGCTCTCCCTGATGCTTTCCCTGATGCTTCCCTGATGCTTTCCCTGATGCTTTCCCTGATGCTTTCCCTGATGCTTTCCCTGATGCTCTCCCTGATGCTTTCCCTGATGCTTTCCCTGATGCTTTCCCTGATGCTTCCCTGATGCTTCCCTGATGCTTTCCCTGATGCTTTCCCTGATGCTTTCCCTGATGCTTTCCCTGATGCTTTCCCTGATGCTTTCCCTGATGCTTTCCCTGATGCTTTCCCTGATGCTTTCCCTGATGCTTCTCCCTGATGCTCTCCCTGATGCTCTCCCTGATGCTCTCCCTGATGCTCTTCCCTGATGCTTTCCCTGATGCTTTCCCTGATGCTTCCCTGATGCTTTCCCTGATGCTTTCCTGATGCTTCCCTGATGCTTTCCCTGATGCTTTCCCTGATGCTCTCCCTGATGCTTCCCTGATGCTTTCCCTGATGCTCTCCTGATGCTTTCCCTGATGCTCTCCCTGATGCTCTCCCTGATGCTTTCCCTGATGCTTTCCCTGATGCTTTCCCTGATGCTTTCCCTGATGCTTTCCCTGATGCTCTCCCTGATGCTTTCCCTGATGCTTTCCCTGATGCTCTCCCTGATGCTTTCCCTGATGCTCTCCCTGATGCTTTCCCTGATGCTTTCCCTGATGCTTTCCCTGATGCTTTCCCTGATGCTTTCCCTGATGCTTCCCTGATGCTCTCCCTGATGCTTTCCCTGATGCTCTCCCTGATGCTTTCCCTGATGCTTTCCCTGATGCTTTCCCCTGATGCTTTCCCTGATGCTCTCCCTGATGCTTTCCCTGATGCTCTCCCCTGATGCTTTCCCTGATGCTCTCCCTGATGCTCTCCCTGATGCTCTCCCTGATGCTCTCCCTGATGCTCTCCCTGATGCTTTCCCTGATGCTCTCCCTGATGCTCTCCCTGATGCTCTCCCTGATGCTTTCCCTGATGCTTTCCCTGATGCTTTCCCTGATGCTTTCCCTGATGCTTTCCCTGATGCTTTCCCTGATGCTTTCCCTGATGCTCTCCCTGATGCTCTCCCTGATGCTCTCCCTGATGCTCTCCCTGATGCTTTCCCTGATGCTTTCCCTGATGCTTTCCCTGATGCTCTCCCTGATGCTTCCCTGATGCTTTCCCTGATGCTTTCCCTGATGCTTTCCCTGATGCTTTCCCTGATGCTTTCCCTGATGCTTTCCCTGATGCTTTCCCTGATGCTCTCCCTGATGCTTTCCCTGATGCTTTCCCTGATGCTTCCCTGATGCTCTCCCTGATGCTCTCCCTGATGCTCTCCCTGATGCTTCCCTGATGCTCTCCCTGATGCTTTCCCTGATGCTTTCCCTGATGCTTTCCCTGATGCTCTCCCTGATGCTTTCCCTGATGCTTTCCCTGATGCTCTCCCTGATGCTTTCCCTGATGCTCTCCCTGATGCTTTCCCTGATGCTCTCCCTGATGCTCTCCCTGATGCTCTCCCTGATGCTTTCCCTGATGCTTTCCCTGATGCTTTCCCTGATGCTTTCCCTGATGCTCTCCCTGATGCTCTCCCTGATGCTTTCCCTGATGCTCTCCCTGATGCTTTCCCTGATGCTCTCCCTGATGCTTTCCCTGATGCTTTCCCTGATGCTCTCCCTGATGCTTTCCCTGATGCTTTCCCTGATGCTTTCCCTGATGCTTTCCCTGATGCTTTCCCTGATGCTTTCCCTGATGCTTTCCCTGATGCTTTCCCTGATGCTCTCCCTGATGCTCTCCCTGATGCTTTCCCTGATGCTTTCCCTGATGCTTTCCCTGATGCTTTCCCTGATGCTCTCCCTGATGCTTTCCCTGATGCTCTCCCTGATGCTTTCCCTGATGCTCTCCCTGATGCTCTCCCTGATGCTCTCCCTGATGCTCTCCCTGATGCTCTCCCTGATGCTTTCCCTGATGCTCTCCCTGATGCTCTCCCTGATGCTCTCCCTGATGCTTTCCCTGATGCTTTCCCTGATGCTTTCCCTGATGCTCTCCCTGATGCTCTCCCTGATGCTCTCCCTGATGCTTTCCCTGATGCTTTCCCTGATGCTTTCCCTGATGCTTTCCCTGATGCTTTCCCTGATGCTCTCCCTGATGCTTTCCCTGATGCTCTCCCTGATGCTTTCCCTGATGCTTTCCCTGATGCTTTCCCTGATGCTCTCCCTGATGCTTTCCCTGATGCTCTCCCTGATGCTTTCCCTGATGCTCTCCCTGATGCTCTCCCTGATGCTCTCCCTGATGCTTTCCCTGATGCTTTCCCTGATGCTTTCCCTGATGCTTTCCCTGATGCTCTCCCTGATGCTCTCCCTGATGCTTTCCCTGATGCTCTCCCTGATGCTTTCCCTGATGCTTTCCCTGATGCTCTCCCTGATGCTTTCCCTGATGCTCTCCCTGATGCTTTCCCTGATGCTTTCCCTGATGCTCTCCCTGATGCTCTCCCTGATGCTCTCCCTGATGCTCTCCCTGATGCTTTCCCTGATGCTTTCCCTGATGCTTTCCCTGATGCTCTCCCTGATGCTTTCCCTGATGCTCTCCCTGATGCTTTCCCTGATGCTCTCCCTGATGCTTTCCCTGATGCTCTCCCTGATGCTCTCCCTGATGCTCTCCCTGATGCTTTCCCTGATGCTTTCCCTGATGCTCTCCCTGATGCTCTCCCTGATGCTTTCCCTGATGCTCTCCCTGATGCTCTCCCTGATGCTCTCCCTGATGCTTTCCCTGATGCTTTCCCTGATGCTTTCCCTGATGCTCTCCCTGATGCTCTCCCTGATGCTTTCCCTGATGCTCTCCCTGATGCTTTCCCTGATGCTCTCCCTGATGCTCTCCCTGATGCTTTCCCTGATGCTCTCCCTGATGCTCTCCCTGATGCTTTCCCTGATGCTCTCCCTGATGCTTTCCCTGATGCTCTCCCTGATGCTTTCCCTGATGCTTTCCCTGATGCTCTCCCTGATGCTTTCCCTGATGCTTTCCCTGATGCTTTCCCTGATGCTTTCCCTGATGCTCTCCCTGATGCTTTCCCTGATGCTTTCCCTGATGCTTTCCCTGATGCTTTCCCCTGATGCTTTCCCTGATGCTCTCCCTGATGCTCTCCCTGATGCTCTCCTGATGCTTTCCCTGATGCTTTCCCTGATGCTTCCCCTGATGCTTTCCCTGATGCTTTCCCTGATGCTCTCCCTGATGCTTTCCCTGATGCTCTCCCTGATGCTTTCCCTGATGCTTTCCCTGATGCTCTCCCTGATGCTTTCCCTGATGCTCTCCCTGATGCTCTCCCTGATGCTCTCCCTGATGCTCTCCCTGATGCTCTCCCTGATGCTCTCCCTGATGCTCTCCCTGATGCTTTCCCTGATGCTCTCCCTGATGCTCTCCCTGATGCTTTCCCTGATGCTCTCCCTGATGCTTTCCCTGATGCTCTCCCTGATGCTTTCCCTGATGCTTTCCCTGATGCTTTCCCTGATGCTTTCCCTGATGCTCTCCCTGATGCTTTCCCTGATGCTCTCCCTGATGCTTTCCCTGATGCTCTCCCTGATGCTTTCCCTGATGCTCTCCCTGATGCTCTCCCTGATGCTCTCCCTGATGCTTTCCCCTGATGCTCTCCCTGATGCTCTCCCTGATGCTCTCCCTGATGCTCTCCCTGATGCTCTCCCTGATGCTTTCCCTGATGCTTTCCCTGATGCTTTCCCTGATGCTCTCCCTGATGCTCTCCCTGATGCTCTCCCTGATGCTTTCCCTGATGCTCTCCCTGATGCTCTCCCTGATGCTCTCCCTGATGCTCTCCCTGATGCTCTCCCTGATGCTTTCCCTGATGCTCTCCCTGATGCTTTCCCTGATGCTCTCCCTGATGCTTTCCCTGATGCTCTCCCTGATGCTCTCCCTGATGCTCTCCCTGATGCTCTCCCTGATGCTCTCCCTGATGCTCTCCCTGATGCTCTCCCTGATGCTTTCCCTGATGCTCTCCCTGATGCTTTCCCTGATGCTCTCCCTGATGCTCTCCCTGATGCTCTCCCTGATGCTCTCCCTGATGCTCTCCCTGATGCTCTCCCTGATGCTTTCCCTGATGCTTTCCCTGATGCTCTCCCTGATGCTTTCCCTGATGCTCTCCCTGATGCTTTCCCTGATGCTTTCCCTGATGCTCTCCCTGATGCTCTCCCTGATGCTCTCCCTGATGCTCTCCCTGATGCTTTCCCTGATGCTTTCCCTGATGCTCTCCCTGATGCTCTCCCTGATGCTCTCCCTGATGCTCTCCCTGATGCTCTCCCTGATGCTTTCCCTGATGCTCTCCCTGATGCTCTCCCTGATGCTCTCCCTGATGCTCTCCCTGATGCTCTCCCTGATGCTTTCCCTGATGCTCTCCCTGATGCTCTCCCTGATGCTCTCCCTGATGCTCTCCCTGATGCTCTCCCTGATGCTCTCCCTGATGCTTTCCCTGATGCTCTCCCTGATGCTTTCCCTGATGCTCTCCCTGATGCTCTCCCTGATGCTCTCCCTGATGCTTTCCCTGATGCTCTCCCTGATGCTTTCCCTGATGCTTTCCCTGATGCTTTCCCTGATGCTTTCCCTGATGCTTTCCCTGATGCTTTCCCTGATGCTCTCCCTGATGCTCTCCCTGATGCTTTCCCTGATGCTTTCCCTGATGCTTTCCCTGATGCTTTCCCTGATGCTCTCCCTGATGCTTTCCCTGATGCTCTCCCTGATGCTTTCCCTGATGCTCTCCCTGATGCTCTCCCTGATGCTCTCCCTGATGCTCTCCCTGATGCTCTCCCTGATGCTTTCCCTGATGCTCTCCCTGATGCTCTCCCTGATGCTCTCCCTGATGCTTTCCCTGATGCTTTCCCTGATGCTTTCCCTGATGCTCTCCCTGATGCTCTCCCTGATGCTCTCCCTGATGCTTTCCCTGATGCTTTCCCTGATGCTTTCCCTGATGCTTTCCCTGATGCTTTCCCTGATGCTCTCCCTGATGCTCTCCCTGATGCTCTCCCTGATGCTTTCCCTGATGCTTTCCCTGATGCTTTCCCTGATGCTCTCCCTGATGCTTTCCCTGATGCTCTCCCTGATGCTTTCCCTGATGCTCTCCCTGATGCTCTCCCTGATGCTCTCCCTGATGCTTTCCCTGATGCTTTCCCTGATGCTTTCCCTGATGCTTTCCCTGATGCTCTCCCTGATGCTCTCCCTGATGCTTTCCCTGATGCTCTCCCTGATGCTTTCCCTGATGCTCTCCCTGATGCTTTCCCTGATGCTTTCCCTGATGCTCTCCCTGATGCTTTCCCTGATGCTCTCCCTGATGCTTTCCCTGATGCTTTCCCTGATGCTCTCCCTGATGCTCTCCCTGATGCTCTCCCTGATGCTCTCCCTGATGCTTTCCCTGATGCTTTCCCTGATGCTTTCCCTGATGCTCTCCCTGATGCTTTCCCTGATGCTCTCCCTGATGCTTTCCCTGATGCTCTCCCTGATGCTTTCCCTGATGCTCTCCCTGATGCTCTCCCTGATGCTCTCCCTGATGCTTTCCCTGATGCTTTCCCTGATGCTCTCCCTGATGCTCTCCCTGATGCTTTCCCTGATGCTCTCCCTGATGCTCTCCCTGATGCTCTCCCTGATGCTTTCCCTGATGCTTTCCCTGATGCTTTCCCTGATGCTCTCCCTGATGCTCTCCCTGATGCTTTCCCTGATGCTCTCCCTGATGCTTTCCCTGATGCTCTCCCTGATGCTCTCCCTGATGCTTTCCCTGATGCTCTCCCTGATGCTCTCCCTGATGCTTTCCCTGATGCTCTCCCTGATGCTTTCCCTGATGCTCTCCCTGATGCTTTCCCTGATGCTTTCCCTGATGCTCTCCCTGATGCTTTCCCTGATGCTTTCCCTGATGCTTTCCCTGATGCTCTCCCTGATGCTCTCCCTGATGCTTTCCCTGATGCTTTCCCTGATGCTTTCCCTGATGCTTTCCCTGATGCTCTCCCTGATGCTTTCCCTGATGCTCTCCCTGATGCTTTCCCTGATGCTTTCCCTGATGCTTCCCCTGATGCTTTCCCTGATGCTTTCCCTGATGCTCTCCCTGATGCTTTCCCTGATGCTCTCCCTGATGCTTTCCCTGATGCTTTCCCTGATGCTCTCCCTGATGCTTTCCCTGATGCTCTCCCTGATGCTCTCCCTGATGCTCTCCCTGATGCTCTCCCTGATGCTCTCCCTGATGCTTTCCCTGATGCTCTCCCTGATGCTCTCCCTGATGCTTTCCCTGATGCTCTCCCTGATGCTTTCCCTGATGCTCTCCCTGATGCTTTCCCTGATGCTTTCCCTGATGCTTTCCCTGATGCTTTCCCTGATGCTTTCCCTGATGCTCTCCCTGATGCTTTCCCTGATGCTCTCCCTGATGCTTTCCCTGATGCTCTCCCTGATGCTTTCCCTGATGCTCTCCCTGATGCTCTCCCTGATGCTCTCCCTGATGCTTTCCCTGATGCTCTCCCTGATGCTCTCCCTGATGCTCTCCCTGATGCTCTCCCTGATGCTCTCCCTGATGCTTTCCCTGATGCTTTCCCTGATGCTTTCCCTGATGCTCTCCCTGATGCTCTCCCTGATGCTCTCCCTGATGCTTTCCCTGATGCTCTCCCTGATGCTCTCCCTGATGCTCTCCCTGATGCTCTCCCTGATGCTCTCCCTGATGCTTTCCCTGATGCTCTCCCTGATGCTTTCCCTGATGCTCTCCCTGATGCTTTCCCTGATGCTCTCCCTGATGCTCTCCCTGATGCTCTCCCTGATGCTCTCCCTGATGCTCTCCCTGATGCTCTCCCTGATGCTCTCCCTGATGCTTTCCCTGATGCTCTCCCTGATGCTTTCCCTGATGCTCTCCCTGATGCTCTCCCTGATGCTCTCCCTGATGCTCTCCCTGATGCTTTCCCTGATGCTTTCCCTGATGCTCTCCCTGATGCTTTCCCTGATGCTCTCCCTGATGCTTTCCCTGATGCTTTCCCTGATGCTCTCCCTGATGCTCTCCCTGATGCTCTCCCTGATGCTTTCCCTGATGCTTTCCCTGATGCTCTCCCTGATGCTCTCCCTGATGCTCTCCTGATGCTCCCCTGATGCTCTCCCTGATGCTCTCCCTGATGCTCTCCCTGATGCTCTCCCTGATGCTCTCCCTGATGCTTTCCCTGATGCTCTCCCTGATGCTCTCCCTGATGCTCTCCCTGATGCTCTCCCTGATGCTTTCCCTGATGCTTTCCCTGATGCTTTCCCTGATGCTCTCCCTGATGCTCTCCCTGATGCTTTCCCTGATGCTCTCCCTGATGCTTTCCCTGATGCTTTCCCTGATGCTCTCCCTGATGCTTTCCCTGATGCTCTCCCTGATGCTCTCCCTGATGCTTTCCCTGATGCTCTCCCTGATGCTTTCCCTGATGCTCTCCCTGATGCTTTCCCTGATGCTTTCCCTGATGCTCTCCCTGATGCTTTCCCTGATGCTTTCCCTGATGCTCTCCCTGATGCTCTCCCTGATGCTTTCCCTGATGCTTTCCCTGATGCTTTCCCTGATGCTTTCCCTGATGCTCTCCCTGATGCTTTCCCTGATGCTCTCCCTGATGCTTTCCCTGATGCTCTCCCTGATGCTTTCCCTGATGCTCTCCCTGATGCTCTCCCTGATGCTTTCCCTGATGCTCTCCCTGATGCTTTCCCTGATGCTTTCCCTGATGCTCTCCCTGATGCTCTCCCTGATGCTCTCCCTGATGCTTTCTGATGCTTTCCCTGATGCTTTCCCTGATGCTTTCCCTGATGCTCTCCCTGATGCTCTCCCTGATGCTTTCCCTGATGCTCTCCCTGATGCTTTCCCTGATGCTTTCCCTGATGCTCTCCCTGATGCTTTCCCTGATGCTCTCCCTGATGCTTTCCCTGATGCTTTCCCTGATGCTTTCCCTGATGCTCTCCCTGATGCTCTCCCTGATGCTCTCCCTGATGCTCTCCCTGATGCTTTCCCTGATGCTTTCCCTGATGCTTTCCCTGATGCTCTCCCTGATGCTCTCCCTGATGCTCTCCCTGATGCTTTCCCTGATGCTTTCCCTGATGCCTCCCTCTTGGGATCCTCTGCTGCTTCCCTCTAAACCCTGCCCCAACTTCACTGGAGAGAGAGCAACATGGCCGCGGCCGAATGTGCTGCAGAACTACGGAAGTGAGGTGGGTCTTATTCCATCAGCTACAGGCGCTGCTGGCGAAGGAGCCGCTAGTTTTGCGCCTGCGGGTTTTGCGCAGACGAAAGCCAAGTTTGTGAAGTCGACAGAGGTGCTTTTAGCTGTGCACAAACGCGAGGCAAAGTTGGAACAATCAGCTAGCCCCAGCGCGCTAATGTTAAGACTCGAGTTAGCCACACATGCTAGCTGGCTACCTTTGGTTTGAATAGGACTCGGGAGCTAACCATGCTAACCATGCTAACTATGCTAACTATGCTAACTGCTCTGTAAATAGCCCGGTGAAGCACTATATTTCCTATAAATAACTCCAAATTCAGTCTGTGTCTTTACTAATGCCCACAATAACACTTTACCCTTCTGGCATGCTCACACATTTCGTTAAAATACTAATAAAGCCAATATTTGACCACACTATTTCTGCACGATGTCGCCCAGTGGGAAAAATTAGCACAACTAGCCACAACTAGCATCTCGGCTAACTAGACGTTTACATTGACTAATAACATGCAAGTTTAGGCATCTTCTGTGTAATTCAGCAGTGTGCCATGCTTGCTTAAATGCTAAATGTGACGTGTTATGTATGCAACAGTCTGCACATGTGTGATTGGTATATTTAAGTGAATTATAACAACAATTGTGACTGGAAAGCTGCAGAAACAGGCTGTGTCCAGTGCACTAAGTAGACAAGTTTCTCCACGTAAATCACACAGCTACAAACAGCTGCTTTTACTGAATTCTATAAGAGTTTGTCCTGTCAGATGCTGATGGTTGGCTTGGACATGGTGTTAAGGGTTTCCTCGGGTTGACCCAGATTTTTATTTAATGGCATTTGTTTGTGGAGAATGTGGAGAATCTCTTACTACGTTTGCGTGTGTTTGGAAAAGATCGATACAAGTATAGTCTCCAGAGAATGCAGTGTTTACTTGATGTTTACTCTCTGGTCTCTCCCTGGTCTCTCTCTGGTCTCTCTCTCTGGTCTCTCCCTGGTCTCTCTCTGGTCTCTCTCTCTGGTCTCTCTCTGGTCTCTCTCTCTGGTCTCTCTCTCTGGTCTCTCTTTGGTCTCTCTCTGGTCTCTCTCTGGCCTCTCTCTGGTCTCTCTCTCTGGTCTCTCTCTGGTCTCTCTCTGGCCTCTCTCTCTGGTCTCTCTCTGGTCTCTCTCTGGTCTCTCTCTCTGGTCTCTCTTTGGTCTCTCTCTGGCCTCTCTCTGGTCTCTCTCTCTGGTCTCTCTCTGGTCTCTCTCTGGCCTCTCTCTCTGGTCTCTCTCTGGTCTCTCTCTCTGGTCTCTCTCTCTGGTCTCTCTATTTGGTCTCTCTCTGGTCTCTCTCTTTGGTCTCTCTCTGGCCTCTCTCTGGTCTCTCTCTGGTCTCTCTCTCTGGTCTCTCTCTCTCTCTCTCTGGTCTCTCTCTGGTCCTCTCTCTGGTCTCTCTCTCTGGTCTCTCTCTTTGGTCTCTCTCTGGTCTCTCTCTGGTCTCTCTCTCTGGTCTCTCTCTCTGGTCTCTCTCTGGTCTCTCTCTGGTCTCTCTATTTGGTCTCTCTCTGGTCTCTCTATTTGGTCTCTCTCTGGTCTCTCTATTTGGTCTCTCTCTGGTCTCTCTCTTTGGTCTCTCTCTGGCCTCTCTCTGGTCTCTCTCTGGTCTCTCTCTCTGGTCTCTCTCTCTCTGGTCTCTCTCTCTTTGGTCTCTCTCTGGTCCCTCTCTGGTCTCTCTCTTTGGTCTCTCTCTGGTCTCTCTCTGGCCTCTCTCTGGTCTCTCTCTCTGGTCTCTCTCTTTGGTCTCTCTCTGGTCTCTCTCTGGTCTCTCTCTCTGGTCTCTCTCTCTGGTCTCTCTCTCTGGTCTCTCTCTGGTCTCTCTATTTGGTCTCTCTCTGGTCTCTCTATTTGGTCTCTCTCTGGTCTCTCTCTGGTCTCTCTCTTTGGTCTCTCTCTTTGGTCTCTCTCTGGCCTCTCTCTGGTCTCTCTCTCTGGTCTCTCTCTGGTCTCTCTCTGGCCTCTCTCTGGTCTCTCTCTCTGGTCTCTCTCTTTGGTCTCTCTCTGGTCTCTCTCTGGTCTCTCTCTGGCCTCTCTCTGGTCTCTCTCTGGTCTCTCTCTGGTCTCTCTCTTTGGTCTCTCTCTGGTCTCTCTCTGGCCTCTCTCTGGTCTCTCTCTCTGGTCTCTCTTTGGTCTCTCTCTGGTCTCTCTCTGGTCTCTCTCTGGTCTCTCTCTTTGGTCTCTCTCTGGTCTCTCTCTGGCCTCTCTCTGGTCTCTCTCTCTGGTCTCTCTCTTTGGTCTCTCTCTGGTCTCTCTCTGGTCTCTCTCTCTGGTCTCTCTCTCTGGTCTCTCTCTGGTCTCTCTCTGTTCTCTCTCTGGTCTCTCTCTGGTCTCTCTATTTGGTCTCTCTCTGGTCTCTCTATTTGGTCTCTCTCTGGTCTCTCTCTGGTCTCTCTCTTTGGTCTCTCTCTGGCCTCTCTCTGGTCTCTCTATTTGGTCTCTCTCTGGTCTCTCTATTTGGTCTCTCTCTGGTCTCTCTCTGGTCTCTCTCTGGTCTCTCTCTCTGGTCTCTCTCTGGCCTCTCTCTGGCCTCTCTCTGGTCTCTCTCTGGTCTCTCTCTGGTCTCTCTATTTGGTCTCTCTCTGGTCTCTCTCTGGTCTCTCTCTGGTCTCTCTCTGGTCTCTCTATTTGGTCTCTCTCTGGTCTCTCTCTGGTCTCTCTATTTGGTCTCTCTCTGGTCTCTCTCTGGTCTCTCTCTTTGGTCTCTCTCTGGTCTCTCTCTGGCCTCTCTCTCTGGTCTCTCTCTGGTCTCTCTCTGGTCTCTCTCTGGTCTCTCTATTTGGTCTCTCTATTTGGTCTCTCTCTGGTCTCTCTCTGGTCTCTCTCTTTGGTCTCTCTCTGGCCTCTCTCTGGTCTCTCTCTGGTCTCTCTCTGGTCTCTCTCTCTGGTCTCTCTCTGGCCTCTCTCTGGTCTCTCTCTGGTCTCTCTCTGGTCTCTCTCTGGTCTCTCTCTCTCTGGTCTCTCTCTGGCCTCTCTCTGGTCTCTCTCTGGCCTCTCTCTGGTCTCTCTCTGGTCTCTCTCTGGTCTCTCTCTGGTCTCTCTCTGGTCTCTCTCTGGTCTCTCTCTCTCTGGTCTCTCTCTGGCCTCTCTTTGGTCTCTCTCTGGTCTCTCTCTGGTCTCTCTCTGGTCTCTCTCTGGTCTCTCTCTCTCTGGTCTCTCTCTGGTAGTAGTAATAGTAGTAATAGTAGTAATGTTTATTTATATACCGCCTTTTCACTGCAGATCTGAGTCTCAAAGCGGTTTACAATTGTTATTTTTGGGCATTTGTCTCTCACTCCACACAGAGATGGGAGCGGGGCCAGTACAGGAGGCGCATGCCAGAACTATTGGACATATTTTTAGTGGTAGGGGAAACCGGAGTACCCGGAGGAAACCTACGCAGACACGGGGAGAACATGCAAACTCCACTCAGAAAGGCCCTGGTCCGACCGGGATTCGAACCCAAGACCTTCTTGCTGAGAGGCGAGAGTGCTATCCACTCAGCCACCGTGCCGCCCATGGTCTCTCTCTGGTCTCTCTCTCTCTGGTCTCTCTCTGGCCTCTCTTTGGTCTCTCTCTGGTCTCTCTCTGGTCTCTCTCTGGTCTCTCTCTGGTCTCTCTCTGGTCTCTCTCTGGTCTCTCTCTCTCTGGTCTCTCTCTGGCCTCTCTCCGGTCTCTCTCTGGTCTCTCTCTTTGGTCTCTCTCTGGCCTCTCTCCGGTCTCTCTCTGGTCTCTCTCTTTGGTCTCTCTTTGGTCTCTCTCTGGCCTCTCTCTGGCCTCTCTCTGGTCTCTCTCTGGCCTCTCTCTGGTCTCTCTCTGGTCTCTCTCTGGTCTCTCTCTGGTCTCTCTCTGGCCTCTCTCTGGTCTCTCTCTGGTCTCTCTCTGGCCTCTCTCTGGTCTCTCTCTGGTCTCTCTCTGGTCTCTCTCTGGTCTCTCTCTGGTCTCTCTCTGGTCCTCTCTTCTGGTCTCTCTCTGGTCTCTCTCTGGTCTCTCTCTGGTCTCTCTCTGGTCTCTCTCTGGTCTCTCTCTGGTCTCTCTCTGGTCTCTCTCTGGTCTCTCTCTCTGGTTGTGTTTGGATCAATACTCTGTAGTCTCCAGCAAACCCAGTGTTTACTTTAACTCTAATGTGTTTTTTAGTCAATTGATCAGATTTATTTATATAGTTCACATGTGGTATTTTGTCGCTGTTCAGAGCTGGAGCGTGTTAAGGCAAGTTTTATTTGTTTAGCACAGTTCATACTCAGAGGGTATGACAGAATAATACTGCAAAACAATCTCACAAGTAATAGAAATGGTAAAATATCACAGTACATTAACAAGAGTAAAGATACAATCCTTCAGTTGTAAACACAGAGAAACAAAACTGTTTGAACCTGGATTTGAACATTACCAGAGAAGAAGCCCGTCTCACATTTTCAGGAAGACTCCCTGGTTTTAGCTGCATGAATCTGAAAGGCTGCCTCCCAATGTTTAGTCCTGACTCTGGGACCAGCAGGAGGCCAGTCCCTGTGCTCCTCCGAGTCCCAGCAGGAGGCCAGTCCCTGTGCTCCTCCGAGTCCCAGCAGGAGGTCAGTCCCTGTGCTCCTCAGAGTCCTCCTTGGGTCATTTGGCTCTAACACATCACAGGTACTTTGATGCGAGGCCATGGAGAGACTTCTGCACAAGCTTTGAAGTCTGTTCTCTGAGCCACAGGAAGCCGGTTAGTACCACTGTTTTTCTGAATTATTTTTTCACCGTCCTATAAACCATCAACACCTTCTCTCTACACTCCCCGCACTGAGCTGGTTTTTATAGTCCCCTAAAATATGGTTCCAGTGGATTTAGCAGGTCACATAGTGCAGCAGAGAAAGATTAGTTCAGAAGACTGTCTCTCTGGTCTCTCTCTCTGGTGTCTCTCTCTGGTCCCTCTCTGGTCCCTCTCTGGTCTCTCTCTGGTCTCTCTCTGGTCTCTCTCTGGTCTCTCTCTGGTCTCTCTCTCTGGTCTCTCTCTCTGGTCTCTCTCTCTGGTCTCTCTCTGGTGTCTCTCTCTGGTGTCTCTCTCTGGTCTCTCTCTCTGGTCTCTCTCTCTGGTCTCTCTCTGGTCTCTCTTTCTGGTCTCTCTCTGGTCTCTCTCTCTGGTCTCTCTCTCTGGTCTCTCTCTCTGGTCTCTCTCTGGTCTCTCACAGCAGTTGTGAGTGCAGGTGTTTGAAAACTGTATGAAGTGATGGTTTTACAGCTGGTACTGAGAGGATTTCACTTATTGTGGGTTATTTTTAGATCACATCACCCCCGCGATATGGTCCTGGGTCCTGTGTTCTCATGTTTTTAACAACACAGAGGTGTCAGCTGTGAATGAGTTTGATGTTTAAGACGTTTTGTCT